CGAATAATAGAATGAGCAAAACCCAACCGAGGATGGGGTTATCACAGTCCGAATACCAAGACCTGGCGCATAGCCACACGTCGGATCGGAGCAGTGTCGAGCTGAACTTGAACTTGTGTGTGTTTTTTAGGCCTCAGTTAACAGCATTTGAGCTCATTTACACCGCGCGCGGTCATCGACTCACAGCTTTCACCCCCACGCCGTTCGGAGCTATCCAGTGGCTGGCAGCCCTACACCACTCTACCCCCATCTCCTCATTCCTCCTCCCCAAGGTAGGCAGTAATTTCAGATTGCGAGTAATTTCGATTGATGAACCACCACGGGGTGCCCCATGAATTTCACGTTGAATCAATCACCCCTTCGGGTCACGCCATGGCGCGTTATCAAGAGGGAAGTTTGAAGGGGGAAGAGAGAAGAGGCTATTCGACCCCCTCCCTCTTCCTTCTTTTCTTCGCTCTGCCCACGTACGCGCCTGTGATATCGCTTTGCGACTCTCTTGTTCCCATCATCCCCAGCGAGAGCGCAGCCACCTAAGATAGGCTGTCACGTTTTCGCGTGAGACGCGGTGACGGGCCAATACGTGCGCTGCCGAATGGTTGCGATGGAGGCTTGGAGGACAGGGCATTGGCGGGGAGAATATTAAAGGGGGGAAGGGGGAGATCTCGTGTGGCCTTGTTGGGCACGTTATCACCTTATCTCAGCACTTCATAGGGTGATGGGGGACGATGGAGGAGGGGGTGTGTGGTGATTTGCACCCAGTCGCGTAGCTGCTGCCTCATGTGAAATGGTATTTTCTCGAGACGTAGGGCGTGCTCTGCTCTCTAGCGGATAAGCGTTTGACGGGCTTCCGATGCTCTTCTTTTTTGCCCTGCCCCCTCTTCCTCCTGTCTCTTATTTTTTTCTCTCTTTCCCCTCCCTCCCCGCTCGTCGAGTCATAATCTCTCGAGGGCGGAGTGTAACTTGTCGCGTAGTCTGTTGCGGGGGAGGGAGGGGAAGGGTCAAGTGCGGCCTCAGCGACGACTGGACGGTATTGATATTGATTGTCGATGTGTCCAGCCAAACGCATCACTGCCCAAGCATCCACTCACACTCTTTTTCCCTTCACCTCCTGCTCTTTTTTGTTTTCCCGCCCTGCCTACCTACCATGTGGATGTTTCCATCACACCAGACCGCCCATTCTTCAAGGCTTCCATACTTTTGTACAGGATGCTCGGAGTCGCACCCGCACTCGGCCCTGACAACTTTTGCACGCCTCCTCCATTTCGCAACAGATAGCCCGATAGAAGCCTTGTGGTCGGCCGCGACCTCCCCAATCGTAGAAATCAAATAAACCTTTTTCCTGGGGGTGATTTCCCTTGTGCTGAGCTGTCCCTACGCGCCCCTCCATCACTCTGTCACTCTATTTTTGAGATATTCTTACCGCGGTCGTCTTATCGATTGTCCCCTCCTCCCTCCCCCATCACACCGGCGCCCCATCAAGGGATCGCTGTTCGGCACACCCCGCATTCCAACCATTCGTTGCCCCTCCTCCTCCCTCCCACCCCCAATCTTTAACCACGCGCCCACGCCGTGCCCAACGAGTGGGATGCCGCTGCGAATTCGCCCACAGGGCGCTTCACCGCCTTGTAAAACTCATTTCACATCGTTCCCCGTCAAGTGCGTGGGGTGAGCGGAGAGAAAGAGGAGAAGAGCGTGGAGGAGGCGCCACCATGTTGCCTACACTACACTACACTACACTACACGTACGGCAACCACCACATTGCCGACATACGGTACAGAGACCGACTCTTTCGTCCTCTGACCCCCGCTCCTCAGTTGACAACGCGCATATATTGTCCTGTAACGAGGTGGAGTAAGGGAGAGGAAAGAACCGTTCACCGCCTCCCGAGAGCTAAACGGGGGCGCTATTTAGCGCGCATACTTGTACACGGCGCACCGTGAAGATCAGGTTTTTCGCTTTGCGCGCACGCACACACGCACACACACACTCACACATATACACACACGGATACACACACCCGCGCACTCGCGCACGCTCAAGCCCACACACACACACACACACACGCACACACACAGACACGCACACACACAGACACGCACACACACCTGGAACGCGCTCGTAGGCCCGCCCACGTATATTTTTCTCTCTCATTGACTTCTAGCGCTTGTGCGTTCCGGAAGAAGAAGGAGCGCGGGGAAAGTAGGACGGCGAAGAGGTGTGTTGATGTGTGGAATTACATGTAGCAAGGAAAACGCTCCGCGTGAACCATTGTACGCGTTGGCCTTGCCCACGTATTCGAAGTCAAGGTGCGGAGGAGTCTAAGTGTTTCTTTTTTTCTTACGCCGAAAAAAAGAAGAAAACGGCTCTTTACTAGTCTTCTTTTTGTTTTATTTTTCCTTTTCTTTCTTCCATCTTCCCATGCGTTGCGAGGTTGCGAGGTTGTGGGTTGGTGGTGTTGGGCAGATATGGCGCCCCTCCTCCGCACTCGGCGGCAGCCACTGGCCCGCTTTTCGGACCCGGCACCTCCTCCGCGGAAGCCCCTTCGTCTTTGACACATCAACAGCGCACACCTAATATGTTATTCTCCTCCGCCTTGATGGGGCGGTCTGCAAGAGCCCACACACTCGTAGAGGTCATTTCACACACACATGGGCGCCCTCTCACACACACTTTGCCCATCCACTCCTCGCACAAACGCGCACGCCTACACCATGGGGCATCCCGTAAGCCTTCACCCCTCGTCTCCAGGGACAACACATCGATTCCCCCTCTTCATCCCCTACCCAACCCCATAACAGGGCCCTATCCTTTCCCAAGGCCTTCACGGCCACCATGGTCCCTTGGTGCCCTGGCGTCGAAGCCCCATCTATGTTTCAAGAAGACGAGGCTGTTGGTCTTTTAGGCTCGCTGTGACGCTGGAAACTCTTCCTGTTTGCTAGTCCGCATGCTTGAGAGAGGGTTGGGTTGAATGAAATAGGCCTAAGAAGCCGGTATCAACAAAATGGAATATCCAACGCGCGAAAAGGAAGGCATAGCCCTCGATGAGTCTTTTCAGACTGTTGTAAACCTTGGCCGTAGCCACTAACCCCGCTATACACACCATTGTCTCTTTTTAGCCGTTTTCTCTTTCTTTTTCTTTTTTTCCTTTCTTTTTCTTTTCTTTCTTTTTCGTTCTCTGGGGTGCGTTTCTCACAAGGCGGTGACAGACTTGACCCGCATGAGCTATAGGCTATGCCCGGAGACAAACGCTACAGCTCCCTTCGCTCGGGTCTCTTGTCCGCATTCCGACCAGCTGGATCCTGATGAGGGAGAGGGGGGCGTTTGAGCAAGAAGCAAGAGATCAGGCATGGTGAACCCTCGCTGTGCGTTAGTGATGCCGGGTAAAAGGATCAACGTAGAAAAGATCGTATGGTCTAGCTGGATTAGGGCCTACTAGACGCTTACCGCCCTTCGTAAGGTTTGTCCGGAGTTTTGAACTGCCTCACCACGACCCTTGCTCCCCCTCCCACCCGTGGTTCGTGGCGGACCCAAAAGCTCGGGGAGGGGAAAGGGAAGGAAAAGCAGGAGGGTAAGGAGTGTGTTTGGACAAAAAGTGTGTGTGTGTGTGCGCGCATATCCGGAGCGGGATCGAAGCCAAAGATGGCTGAGACACCGCCTCGATCTGGAGGCGGTAGCCGGGCACCCCGGGAAACCATTCCGACGCCAACGGAGCCCCGGACAGTGCATGTATATCCCCCTTGACGACCTGCAAGCCCTAGATCCGAGGGCGGTGGGCGGTGTTTTCTTTGAGAGACGCTGTCGTGGCAGCTGAACGTACAGACGCCTCAAGACCATACACGCCCCTCCTCTTCCTCTGCTGAGGGAACGGACGTGTTCACCAACCTCTATCTCTTTCTCCCTTTGGAGCCTATGCAAGGCCGTTTGGGACAAGTCTAGCCTCTGGTTGCAGAGTCTGACGGATGTTGGAGGCCCGCTGCTGTGGTAAGTCACGAGACGGGAGTGACAAGTCTAGGCGCGCCGAGGAACGTTGTGCATGGGAAGACGGAAAAAAGGAAAGAAAGGCCGCTTTTCTAAGATTCGTGGATGCTGCAGTGAGAACATCACCTCGTAGATAGATTCGTTGAAGCCGCGACCCGCTCTTTCCGAGACACTATAACGAGACGAACAGGGTTGAAGTAGGAGACGAGAGCCCCGTAAGTGAGCTCTAAACGTAGATTCGAAGAAAGATGGAATAGGAATGAGCAATCAGAGCTATAGAGGAGGAAGTAGTTCAAGAAAAAGAAGAGAAAAAGGTTAAAAAAACATACAACATCGGGGATTCGCTGGTCGTCACCGACCCAACTACTAATCCGACGCTCCAGAGCTTAACTAGGCGAGAGCGAACGGGATCGCGTGTTTTCTCCGGGCTATGGTCGTATGTGCTAGAACACGGTCCTCCACAAGGTTATCAAGGAAAAAAGACGGAAGATGGGCTGCCGAGAAACTCGCGATATATGGTTTTGGGGTGACGATCCGAGGGCTCACGCTTTTTCCTCCAGAAGCCTGGTTCTCGGCGATATTGGATCCTTTTCCTTGGGCAAACGGGACAATCCGCTAAAACAACGGCGAACATAAAGACGGCGGGAGGGAACAGAAGGGGTATGTGGAATCGCATCTATTAAAAAAGGCCTCTGATGTGTGCACAAATGGTAACGAATGCTAAACGTCTCGAAATAGACTCCGTTACGCCGTCAACTCCCGATGCCTGAAGAAAAGAAAAACCAAAACAAGATAAAGGTAAGAGGAAGGCACCTTGTGAAGGGCAGCAACGTCCCGCATGCCCATTGCCTTTCGTCTAATCCTTTTCATGATCCATATGCCAGAGGATGCCAGACACCCCTCGATGAGCCCAGGATTTTCGTCGTGTGGCTCCCTGTTATTCCACGGGATGCCCTGGCGAGAAACCTCCGACCAGAAAATTGGACGCGGCCATAACTGTGACCCTCCTCTGCAAACCCAATCAGCTCCTCAAAGCCTCGAGGCGATTCCTCATCTGGTCCATCATCGCCGCCGCCTCCTCGTCCTCCTCCTCCGCAGCCACCGGCGCTGCGGGCTCCGGCGTGACGGGCACCGACGGCAGCTTCTGCGCTGGCGTGCGATCCTTGAGGATTTCCCCGAGCACCTTGTCGACCTCGCCCTCGCCGAGATCGTCCTCCATATCCACCTCCTCGGGCAGGACGTCGCCCACCATCTCCTCGATGATCCCGGCCTTCATGAGCTCCACGCCCAGCTCCTGCATCGTGCCCGCCAGCGCCGGCAGCCGGATGAGGCTGTTGACGTCCTTCATGATGCCCACGCTCGTGCGGATCGAACCCTCAATCTTGCGCACCGCAAACGCCTCGTTGACCTGCATCTGCACGCTATTGAGCTGCGCCTTGGACGTCACCAGCCGGTCGTGCGTGCGCCGCGCCCGGATCAGCTCCTTGGCGAATTCGCGCGCCTCGCGCGCTGCCTGTCGCTGCTGGCCCGGGTTGCGCTGTGCGCGCCGGTCCGCCTGCACGATGAGGTTCTTGGCCTTGACCTCTACCTGCCTGGCGTTGGCGATATCGCGGTCGAGCTTGCGGATGTTTTGCCGGAGGAGCGCGTTGCATTTTCGTACCTAGACGTGGGGGAAGACGAGGCAAGATGTTAGCGGAATTTGTGGGTGGAGAAGGGAGGAGGGAGAGGATCAGGCCGGCTGAGGATGGGAAGTGACGTACCTGTGCCTGGGGGTCAGGCTTCGCGAAGAATCCTCGTATCGTCTCCATGTCTGCGGCCGGTGGGTAGGACAAGCGCCGTGCAGTATCGGAGGTATGTATAGCGGAAGATGGCTTCTCTCCCGGGTGGTATGGGGTATATGTCCCGTCGCCGTACTGTTCCGGCCTCTTTACGCTAACAAGGGAGGCCCCCAAGGACCAACTCTACCAAATTCAGCCGGTAATAAACCCCTTTTCGGTCAATACTCGCCGGCGGAAATGTCGAAGAGGAGCGGGATTGGTTTTGTCAGGGGCAGAAGCAGGCGCTGGGTGGCGAAACGCGCATGTGATTTCAGTCGTTTGCAGTTGACTTGGAAATAGGGCCACCGGATTGTCGACTGTCGTTGACGTCCGTCCACCTCTTTTTCTCCCAGGCGAAAACAAGGCCCTCCCTATTCTTTGAAGCCGCCGTGGGTTGACGAACGTTGTATGCGATAAAATTGTGGGAATCGTCGGGAAAAAGAGAGCTTCGAAGCTGGACCTTGCAGAGAAAAACCTCGCTGGGCAGGAAAGCGTTGGCCGTCGCCAAGGCACGAAGCAAGGGAAACGAGCACTGGTTACGTCGTTCACACCAAGGCGGCCTGTCCGAAAGGCCGTTGGCAAAACTTCGGCTAAAACCAAGGGGCGGACAAATGGCGGGGAAGTGCTGGTGCCCCTCCTTGTTCTTGGGCTTCGCGTCAAAATACGGATGCTTCACTGCTCATGTTGCCTGGCCAGACTGAAGCTCTAATGCAAAGGGCTGCACTTGCACAGCCTTGATGTGGCGCTTAGAGGGATAGCCCTCACCGCATTGCGCTGATGAACCCAGCATTCAACACATTCTTATAGGCCTTTGCCATCCTGTGGAAATGGGGGATCTACCATATCAGCATTTAACTGATAGTGATCATACATCACCCTCGAACCGTGGAATTTGGATTGCGCTCACATCCCGCTATACTGGTTCTACGGCTACAGGGCAGAGCTGTAGATGGCATGCAAATTGAAAGAGAAAAGAAATAAAGGCAACCATATGCTGGTGCATAGTCTTGACGAATTGGGATCGTGATCGTCGGCTCGAGCGGCGTTTGGCTTCTCCAACTGATGGGCGAGACAGACAGCAGGCTTGGTGGCTCCTCGCAAGCTGGCTGCGTTATTGTCGCTAAGATGGTACACCCGGTCCCCTCGCAGTTGCGGCTTAAATGACTCGCCACGCCTTGTACCTGCCTAATGGGCCAACCAGCTACCCTCTGTTGCTGGAACGGAGTCCGCCTCAGCCCTGTCCTTAGTTTTCCACCAGCACTCTACACGCTTCTCAGACCTTCTACGGATTTCTGGTGACCTTCAAGCTTCCGCGGTTCAATGCTGTTCGCCGCCGTCCAGTCTCAAACTTGTGACTTCTAAAAAAGGAACAAGAGTTCCCAAGTTTGCCAGACCGAGCCGTGATCCTGTAGTTTTTTTCTCCCTGCCATTCTCTCTTCCATTCCTGTCCGCGAACATATGTTGTTTTCGTCCGTGTACATCAATCCCATCAATCAATCAATTGACTTGTCCCACCAACATTACGTGAAAGGCAGGCTGCTGTGACCCCGCCATCCTCCTGACCCTCCCAGCACCTTCATAAAAACCCGATCCAAGCTCCTCAAAGCTTTCGAGTTCTCAACTTCACCCCCACGAACCAAATCCACCATCTCCTCCAACACCCACAGCCCCATCACCACACAGTCTATCACAATGTCTGAAGCGCAACTCACTCCCGAGGGTAAGAATTGACAAAACCTTTCCTCTATGCAAATTTCTGCGTTTCCCCGCCACTCATTTGAGCTTGCCTCGATCTGAGCCGGGCAGAGTAACTCTTGTGGCATTGAAGCACCCATGAAAAGAGCTCTGCTCTCCCAAAGTAGTAATGGACGTAAAGGAGGCCATTGAATGCAACTAACTCGTCCATCCGCCGCAGTCACCTGGGCCCAGCGCTCCTCTTCGAGCGAACCGGAGAAGAATTTTGTCTACGTTACCATTGTCGTGCCCAACGTCCCCAAGGACAAGCTCAAGCTCGACATCCAGGATCAGAGCGTCACCTTCACTGGCTACTCTGATACCCTCAAGAGGACTTACCACGTCGAACTCCCCTCTTTGGCGTCATCGACCCCGCTGAGACCAAGATCCAGCATACAGACATGAAGATTGACATCAAGCTCCAGAAGAAGGAGCTCAAGGAGGAGTACTGGCCTCGTCTCCTCAAGGAAGCCAAGAAGGTCCATTTCCTCAAGACCGACTTCGACAGGTGGGTCGATGAGGATGAGCAGGATGAGGCTGCTGATGAGGACTTCTCCAAGTTCGGTGGTATGGGTTAGTACCGTGCCCTCTCGTTTCCCTGCCAATCCAGCCCTTGCGGCCGGAGCGGTTTTTTTTTTTCAGCGTTGCTAACACATTGCGATTACAGGCGGCATGCCCGGAATGGGTGGAATGGAAGGAATGGGTGGAATGGGCGGCATGGGCGGCATGGGCGGTCTTGGTGGAATGGGAGGAGGTATGTTACCATGACCCGTTCGATCATTCATTTCCCACTCGGGGATCATCTGGGGTGCGCCGTGTTACGGGCTTTCTAGATGGTCTTTGGGTTGGCGCGCCCCTTTTTGAACCGTGTACTAATCGCTTTTTCTACAGACTTTGGCAACATTGACTTCTCCAAGCTTGGCGGCGGCCTTCCCGGTGGTGATGAGGAGGACGACGACGATGATGACGATGATGACGACGATATGCCGGCTCTTGAGGGCGAGGATGATGCCGCGAAACCCGCCGCGAAGTAACTTTACCTGCCGAAACGTCCTGCGGCATCACCATCTCCTTATGCACACCCTCCTTGCTAGCGGGAAGAAAAGAAAACAAGAAACCCTCGAGGATACCCTCTCGCCCTCTCTATTCTCTCAGACACGCACAATGGCTTGACAAAAACCTCCAAGCTTGCCTCCCTCACGAGTCCCGTTTTTAAAATCCCCGCCACCTCCGTCACCCCCGCCACCTTCTCTCGCTGTCCCTGCCCTTTGGTCCTCTAGCAAAAGGCATGTTTTCGTGGAAGGCTCGCTTGATGAGATTTACGGGTAGATCGAATAGATCAAAATGAATTGTGAAAAGAAAAAAACTTGAAAGGAAATATTTTTGTTCTGGGACCAGTGTGGCGTTTCTCGGCGAACTTTCTTTTCGGGAAAGGGACGGGTTTACTATGTAGCTTTGGGTCCTTTTGTCCTACATTTGCCTTCCAATTACCGTGCTGTGTGCCTATTATCGACGACTCTTTCCTTTCCTCCCCTCGTGTGCATTGCCTGCGGCCGGCCGTTCCTTCCTTGGCTCGACTATCCGAATGTCTGCTGCTCGCTGTGATGTTTTCTTGTATACATGTGCATGTGTAGAACGGAGGAGAGGTTTTTCAACTTGGCAAGAACGAGTAACAATTTTCGCGGGTTCTCCTTGAGCCCATATCAACGTAGTAACTTGACATAGGCAGCTCCTTCCCTTCAGGCAACACGAGCTCAAATAAAGCCGTTTTATGTCTAACCACGGCTGTCGGCCGTCTACGGTTACCCAGTGTCATCGCAACCCCTGACAGCGCCGGCGTTGAGGCCGGCATTGGATCCAACCCCGAAACCCAGCTCCTCCAGGCAGGTCAAGGCTATGGATTGACGTTTGACCGAACGTGGATTACATTTGATGGGACAGGGTTACCCCTACTATGGATACCAGAGTACCGATCTGAGACGTCGGCTTCTTCCTCGTTGGGCATCGTCATAGTGTGCACTTCGGGAGAGATCGTCATCTTTGGATTCTCGGGGCTTCCCGTCTCCTGTTGATTTTCCACGGGAGACTTCTTATCTACGTCTATCAGCCATTTACTGCTCTCTTCTTGCCTGCACCGCACCGTCTTTGGTGTCGAGATAATAGATAGGCAAGTACATCGGTCTCGCAGGCGTCAGGGGTAGTGCTCGTGGCTATTATGGTAGTTCACTTCTACTCTGGGACCTGATGGCCACAGTTTGGATAGTCACACAGGTAAGGCTTTAAATCGTGCACTGGGGGAGCAACGCTTTCATGCAATTATGTCTGGTCTGTAATACACATCTTGCCTCTTGGCCCGTTGACAATCTGATATCTTGGGAGGAAACTAGGGGAAAACAAACAGCAAACAAGAGGTCCAGGCACTCCGGCCAAAGAATAGGGACAAAAAGAAAAAGACCTTCGCGACCTAGCCGACCGACCCGCCACCGCGCATCCTGTTTGCATTCCGGTCTCTGATGGTTCTCAAAAGAGACACATACAGCGTCGTAACTTGAGACCAAGAAACTGAAAAAAGGCAACAATACTGCCCCCACCTTCCGCCCTCCTCGCTCGCTATGTTCCAAGCCGAGTCTCCCAAGGAAAACGGAGATTAAAAAAAAAGAAGAAAAAAGTCAAGATTCTTAGTGTCTTGTGTGGCGATTACTCGGTTTTGTTGTTTGGTGGGTTGGATGGAAAGCATAGTTTAAATTTCAAAAGCACGCCAACTCCCGACGACTAAAGTAAGTGAAGAAAGAGACGGGTTTTAAAGTTACTACAGGTCATGTTAGTGGTTGCATGCTTTCGAGACATGTCATGGCGACAAGTTGTCGGCGGGCTCAACATACCAAAATATCGTCCTCCATGGCAGCATCGCCGTTGCCCGCCGCGGAGCGGCAGCCTGGGCGTTGTCACCACTTCCACCGGCAGCAGCATTGTTCTCACCCGCACCGAAGTAATCAGCCATTTCGGAGTCTAGCTCCTCTGCAGTCTTCTTGGCGGGGCGTGCGCTCCGGCCTCGACGCTTTCCGCGAGCACGACCAGCACCCTGGCCAGCCTTGGCAGTGCCGACCTTATCGGTAGCGGCGGACTTGGGTTGCGCCTTGGGCGGGGCCGCACGCTCGGCAAGAGTCTTGGGCTTGGGAATAACGCTGGCGGCCTGAGCGGCACCAACAACGATTTCGATCTGTGGATCAAGTCGTCAGAGTTTGGTTCAAGTTTAGAACGCGATCACGCTCTTGATCTGGTTTAAGTTTCAAAACGTACCTTAATAGGGCGGTTGTCGACGAGGAGGCCGTTCAGTTTCTGGAAGGCCTTGCTAGCGCCGTCCGGCTTGGAGAAGGTGACATTGGCGATACCGCGGCTTTGAGAGTTGGGGCCGTAAGAAAGCTCGACCCTCTTGATGGCACCGACAGATTGGACAAAGTATTCCTATGGTGGGAGAAAGTCGATGTTAGTGAACCAGCAGGGGCTAGTGTGTGCGTAAACTGCTTCTCCGCGAATCCGACGTCGACACTCGGCTGCGTGACACCGGTAGTGCATGGAACAAATCGTAAAAGAAAAACCCCCGGGCAAATCGAACGAGCAAGCGAGCGAGCAGTGAGTCATAAGAATATCCAGTCCTATAGCTTCCTCCCAAAAGAGCCTTCAAGCCAAACAAGTCCCTCAAAGATATCGAAATCAAGAAGCCAGGCCGAAAATGAGGAGATAATCTAGACCGAAGTAAAACTTCGTTCCCAATGACGCCAAAATTTCGCTCTGGCCCCTAGGGTTTTCGATTCGGCCAAACTCTCTTTGTATCTGCATAGCTGATGGGAATCCCCTCGCCCTGGGAAACCCCGCAAGAGATATATCATAGCTCCGATCAATTAAGATGGGCTTTTGACTCCGAACTGGACTTTCAGGCCACTATCACCATGGCCCATCTCGTCCAGTCGAAAGCTTATTGCTCGCCGTCCTTACTCGCTAAAGTAAGAAAAGCACGATATCGCTAACCGCGAGTTCCATCTATACACGCAGCCACAGAAACAGAAGAGGCAAGAGTGTAGCGAGGGCGGGCACTAGTTGCTTCGTAGACAGCCTCGTCCTAAAACAAAGGCCTCGCGGAATTTCTCTCCAGTGAGGATGCTGACCAGGCAATCGCTGCACTAAAGCGGAGGTTCAACGCTTGGCAATGGACTTTCTACTCTTTTGAGTCTTCCGAGGGATTGGAACTCGACGACCAGCCTTTACGGGGCGGAGTATCACAACGGAGAAGAAGAGTGAGGCGTCTCAGCGGCCACAGTCCCAAATGCATACCCGAGCTCGAGCGCGGATCGGACGGAAATGTCGGGCGAAGAAGAGAGCAACGTGGGAAACAGGTCGAATAAAGTCCGATGGCAAGGAATGATTGCCTCATCGGAAACATACCTTAATCTGTTGCTCCGTGACATCCTTGGGCTGTTTTGTGCACGTGTTAGCTCGTTGACCCAGGCACAGATATCGTCATAGAATCAAACACATACCAGGTTGCTCACGATGATCTTGCTGTCACCAGGAAGGGCGGGTCCCTTAGAAGTAGGCTTGGCCGCGGAGGCGCGGGTAGCCTTGCTGGTCTTCTGCACGCCACCAACAGGGGCGGCGGGAGCGGGGTTGCGACCGCTTGAGGCGCGGCGCTGAGGCCCGCGACGGCGAGCACCACCACGGCGAGAAGTGAGGAGCTCGTCGAGGCTCTTGTCAAGCTTGCCGGACATGTTTGCTGAGTGTGTGATTAGGCGGGGAAAAATCGATGTCAAGGAGCTGACAATGCAGAGGTTGCTAGACGCGCAAAAAGAGAATGGTAAGCGCGACTAGAGAGTGGTCTAGTAAGGTGTGGTCGTGGACTATCCGGAACCCAGGTCTGTTGGATGGGAATGAGATAGGTGGTTATTGATGGCGTTGGCCCGAAAGACGAGTCAACAAGTTGATGAGGCGGATGCGACGCGACGAAAAATGAGGCGCGAGACCGAGCGAGTTTGGAAAGAAATAAAAGAAGGTATGGGGCGCCTAAGGTGTAGATAGAGAAAGAAGAAGAAAAAGAAAAAAGAAGAAGGTAGTCTTGCCGAAGAAGCGACAGGTAGGAAGTCACTGGTGATGGCTTTTGGGTGTGGTTGATGAGAGAAAGGAAGAATGCAAGGGGAGGGAGGGTGAGGGAGAGATAGCTGCGAAGAGAGTTTAAAGGGGCAAACTGCTTTGGCGGAACAACAGCACGCTAGTCAAAAGGCAGGCTCGACCCGACGACGTGACAATGCAAAACTCGCGACTGCTAAATTCAGGCAACAGTTCTTGATTTTAATTGGCTGTCTCTTGGCTGAATTAGCCACTTTTGGCGTCCGCCACAGAGCTGAGCCTTGCTGATGACACGAGAGCCAGAAAAGCCAGAAAAAGTGTACTTGTTCACAAGTACCTAGTCATCTTGAGGTGGCCCCAAACGCGCATGCGTGGCCCACGTCAGCTTCCTTCCCAATGAGCGACGAAGAGGACTTGAAGCAGCTGCCAGCCCACCCCAGCTCAAGGGTTGTCTCAAGAGGGGTCAAAAGAACGCGAGGAAAGATGTGCGTTCCCATCGATACATCGGGTCTTGTCTATGATGATGGATAGCATAGCTGATACGGGAAGAGAGTTGTCTCTGGAATTTAACAAAATTGACAATCCTGACCGTGCAAGGCTTGGGTGCATCCAACACCTTAAACCACCTAGGATACAGACTTGTCTTTCTACATTTAGGAGAGGCCTTGGGCCGAGGTGGGCGCGTTTTACAAAGTGGTCTAGTCGATGAAAATGTAGTATTTTCCAGCTCGATGTATATTCGATATCAACCGAGTAAAGGAAGTTCCTCGGGCGTCGAGGGTTGGCATCGACTTCCTTGCTCCAACCAGAGACTGCGTGAATCAATGATGGGTGAATGCAAGCCTGGGCCAGAGGTGGATATAAACATGAACAGAAGAAGGCTTGCATTTCTAACTGAGAATATGGCTCGATTATCCGACTGGAAAGCATTCCGAATGAAACCCAACAAACGCCGTGCGCCCTTGTTCTACAGAATGCCGAATTCGTACTCTTGGTTCCATACGCCGTTTATCGCGCAGCCTTTGGCGGCTTGGATGCCTCCTGCGCGAGCTCCTGCTCATATCTAGAGATTGCGCCGGCGTTAACCTCGATGAAGTGGTAGACGACGATGAGCACGGCGGAGACGCAGCCGAGGGCAATGGCCAGGGTGTAGAGATCGCCGTCGGAAATCATCGTGGCTCGCGATTCGGTGAGCAGGCGATTACTTGTAAAGGTCTTGCGAAGAGGGGGTGTCTGTCAAAGGAGGGCACCGAGTAGCTTCAGAAGTCGAAGAGCCGAGGAGCCTAGCATAAAAGTATGAGCAAGTGAAGAAAAGAAAAAGGGCCGGTGACAAAGGGTCTCGTAGGATTGGGGTAGACCTGATAGAACTGGAACATACTATTTGTTTCTTATCCGTAGTTTTAGCTGTTCGACAAAAACGAATGGCTCGATGAGGGAGAGAATCAAGGTTGGTTACGACGTGCCTTTGCGAATGGTTGAATTGGCAGAATGAGACGCTCTCCAAACTGGACAGCTTGCTTGTGAAGCTCAATTGGACTGCTGAGGCGTCACATCAATTGATCCGGTCAGTCTCCGTGGCGCATCCATGCTACACAGCCACATTACACTTTCTCGCCCTGGAGCCCCTTGGTTCGTGCTTTTTTTCTCGCACGGTTGAATGGATGGCCTGCTCGGGCAGCACTGCACCAGACCAGGCCAGACCAGACCACACACGACAGGCTCCAGTCCGGACTGGACTCACTCACAACCCCACGACACGTGACTCTCAGTGCTCTCTGTGACTTCATCAAGCCCCGCCAACGATTGAAGCCTATGGCTTCTAAAAATCGGCCACTGCCTCCCTCGCCTCACCGAAACGAAAGTCGATTTCCGCAGCTCACAGCGGGCAAAATTTCCCTAACCGACGGCAAGGGTCGAGTTACGCCAAGCAGCATACGAAAATCACTCCAGAACGAAAAATTGACCGAGTAGAATCGCCCGTAAGGGTATCGAAACCGCACCGAAACCCTGGCACTTGAAGCCCCCACCACCACCGCCCACCACCGCCCACCATGCCTCCCAAAAGGTAGAGAAGCAAGGCCCGGGGAAGAAGGCCTCTGCGACGAAGCAGGTGGAGGACCGCACGTTTGGTATGAAGAATAAAAAGGGTGCGGTGGCTCAGAAACAAATCGCCCAGATGACGACCAATTTGAAGAATGGCGGAACGGTCGAGCAGAAGAAGAAGGAGGCCGAAAAGGCCCAGCGCGAAAGGGAGAAGAAGGCGGCTGAGGATGCCAAGCGGGAGGCGGAACTCCTCATGAATAAGCCGGCGCAGATTCAAAAGGTGCCCTTTGGCGTGGATCCCAAGACGGTGGTTTGTATATTTTTCAAAAGGGCAACTGCGAGAAGGGCAAGAAGTGCAAGTTCTCTCACGACCTGGAGATGGAGCGCAAGACGGAGAAGAGGAGTTTATACACCGATACTAGGGCTGAGGAAGAGGAGGTCAAGAAGGTTGAGACCTCGGCAGACTGGGACGAGGAGAAGCTGCGGTCCGTCGTCTTGTCCAAGAAGGGCAACCAAAAGACGACAACGGACAAAGTGTGCAAGTACTTTGTTACCGCCATCGAAGACGGCAAGTACGGCTGGTTTTGGACATGTCCAAACGGCGGTGATAAGTGCATGTATAAGCACGCTCTGCCACCTGGGTATGTAGAACCCCGCACCTTAATTACGGCCATTCATGGCACCAGATCTTTGACTAACTCGCTTCTTCTCTTCTTCTTCTTCTTTACAGCTTCGTCCTGAAAACCAAGGAGCAGCGAGCTGCCGAAAAGGCCCTCATGGACAAGTCCCCTCTCAAGACCCTAACGTTGGAAGAGTTCCTAGAGTCGGAGAGGCACAAGCTCACGGGCACGCTCACGCCAGTAACCCCGGAATCGTTTGAAAAGTGGAAGAAGGATCGTTTGAGCAAGAAGGCTGCCGAGGAGCAGGCGATCAAGGCCAAGGAAGCCACCGGCAGGGCCTCTTCGAGAGTGGCAACTGGCGATCTACGGAAGACTCTGACGATGAAGATGACGACGACGGCGTGTGGAATCTCGAGAAACTCCGCCAGGAGACCGAGGCTATCCGTGAAAGGAAAGAGGAGGAGCGCCTTGCCACCCTCCACGGAGATGTGGCGCCAAACGATGCGGATGGGGGAACCGCGGGTGTCTGAGCGAAGGCGCCTGCTTGCTATAAATACAAGAGCTACAAGGCGTGCTCTTTCCGAATCACTCATGCGTCAGGCATCTATACCAACAACAAGCGAGCCAAGCACCCGTGTGTGTCGAGAACTCACGGGTCGGCTTTCCATGTCCCCGATAAAGACTCAAGACCCACTCACCGACCGACTGCATCTTTGTTATCTCCTCCTCGGATCGTTGCATTTCTTTTTCTATATTCGTATGGAAGGAAAGTTTGGTCGCACCATCACAATCTCGTGCTGCATACTTGGGAACCAGGTCTCAGGCCATTCCTTTTTTTTTCTCTCTTCCCCGTTCTCCGTGTAGTGTTAGAGGCCGCAAAGCTTGCGTCTAAAGAGCTCCTTGAGCTTAAAGAGGGAAGAGCAAGGTCGTGGAGAAGGATTGGCATTTTCCCGCCATTGGTCCCCATTGCGTCATCTGCTTGATTATAGTGCATCTTGTATATGTTGAGAGGCGATGGTCTTGCTCGATGGTATGCTGCTGAGCTAGATGAATCGAAATAGGAGCCACTCTGCCTTGAAAGAGTTTGTTGAAGGCGTTGGCATTTTTGTTCTCTTTGGCTACATGTACTTGCCCTCGTGCGCGCGCTTCCACGGCGACTAAAAGCCCCTTGCCGCAAATTACAAATGAAATGGATGATGGTTGCATGCCAGACATATCAATGGCCAGGGCTACCTTTGCAGCAATTTTAACTAATACCAAGTCATGGAATGCAAAACCTTCATGGTTAAATTGGCACAATGGTGTTATTGATTCACTTACCACCTTGGTGTTCCTACCCACCTCTATACAAGTAGACTGTCTACAATGGGCTGGAATGACAATTGATCAATTCGATGGGAAAGTTGCATCAATCAAGCAGTTACTTCGTAGTTGCCCTTACACGGAATGAGCTATAAATGGCTAGTCCCATCCATGGAAAAGAAACAACGCACCAAAAAATGGGACAATTAAGTCTATTCAGCTGGTGCGCTGATTCAGTTGTGCCCGGAAGAGGGATAGAACGTCTTGTATTACATCCGTGGAATGGCGGCGTGCACATGCTGCTGGATAATTGCTAGATCAATGGTCGTCTCGTGACCCTCAGGTTCTATTTCGGTTTATACTAGATCAATCAATTGATCTCTATTGTGGCCGGATGTCTCTACAACCGCACCGGTTCGATTTTTCGAAAAACACAAGGGTGCGCCAAAACATTTGGGTATTTCGTCAAGTCTCCCCGTCCCCCAACCAAACTCTAGAGTTTATCCGTATGAACGCGAGCTGTGTTTGGCTTTGACGGGAAGCTCCTTTATTCCAAGTTTTTTTCTTCTCTCCCGGAATTGCTACTACTTGAAACAAACATATCCGCGTGGCAGGAACTATCAATCTTCAAGAACTGCTGTTCACCCGGAAAGTCTCCACCCGCCCAAACCAGCCATTTTCTTTTTTTTTCGTCTTTTATTTCCCTCCCCCATCTTCCGTGGGCCACTCAGTCATCCTCCCTCATCCATTCATCAGCGACGCCGGCGCTGCACGTCACGGAACGGGAGCAAAGCGGAGACGTCCACGTTGGGCCGGCGTGAAGAGGAAAATCGATCCACCAACACTGCCGAGAGTAGCGCAGCAGCCCAACAACACGCGGCACCACAAGCGCGAGTGCCCAAACAACGCACATTTCTCTTAGTCTTTTTTTTTTTTTTTTCGTCTTCTTTTTTGGGGGACAGGTGGTCTAGTCTGGTCTATTGGTTTTGTGCTTTGCTCTCACACCAGACGCCCGTTTCATCTCCTCTCTCGAACCCGTCACTTGTTTTTTTCCCTTCTTCTCTCAACGCGTTCCCGTCCGCCTAATAAGAAACACACCAAACGAGTTCTCCCATGGTTAGGAAAGGGGAACAGGGCTCGTCGCTCTATCGGTATTACTAGGTGTAATACAAGTGATTTTAAAAAACACCCATGTCGCGGTGGAACCCTGCTAATAGCCCTCACGGGCAGGGGTCTTCGCAAACTCCTATTCCCCTTCCCCAGCTTCCCGGATACACTTATTCTTCTTCTTCTTCTAATTCCCAGACGGCCCCCAAACAACAACATACCTCAAGGCCGCCCACCATGGGCTTCCCAAGCGGTCAACCAAGAGCGGATCCCAGCTCCGCGCCAGCTCAGTCTCGGGATAAGCCATTGGCCTCGCCCAGGATCGCGGTTGTCTTGAGGGCGCCCGCCGTATCGAACCAGTGGGAGGACGCCGACGAGCTCGGCAGTGACGCGCTGGTCAACTCGGATCTTTCTTCCCAGTATCGGAGGAAACTTGAGGAGGCGCGTGTTGGAAACGCGCCGCCGCGGCTACTGGCCAAGGCAGTACCAGCAGCACCGGCAGTACCAGCAGTACGGGCACTACCAGCGGCACCAGCAGCACCGGTAGCTCCAACCCCCACTGGTCCTGCCGCCTCATCCCAGAAGCAGTCCAAGGCTGCGCCTCCTCCACCCGTCATGGAGGGCGCAAAGCCCAAGTCGACCCGGATGGGCCGGCCAAAGGGCTGGCGTCCGGGCATGTCCTACGCGGATATCCGAAAGTTTGGGCCCGAGGTGGCCGCCGCCAATGCTAGCCTAGGCCCAAAGGCGCCCGCGCGGCTCCAGCAGCAGGCCCGGCGCGCAGGGAGGCCCAAGGGAACGGGGACGGGGACGGGACAGGTCACCTCGAGCGGCGGGGTGCCCAAAAGCGCGCGGCCCCCCGCGGCCGCCTTCGCCGACCCCTCGGAGCATCTACAACGCGCTCAGGCCCCGGTACGTTGCGTTCCTATGCGAGTGGGAGGGCTGCAAGGCGGAGCTGCACAACCTCGAGACGTTGCGTAGACACGTCCAGATTGTCCATTGCGGCGGACACCTCTCCGCGACGACGTGCCGATGGGGCCAGTGCGCGAGGAGTGTGTCTCCGCCACGCTTCGCGACGAGGAACGCGCTGCTGGCGCACGTCGAGATGCGGCACATTACGCCATTCGCGTGGCATGTCGGCGACGGGCCCAAGGTCAGCCTTCCGGGCGTCAGGCCGAGCGGCGGCGGCGGCGGCGGCGACGACGACGAGACGCTGCCCGATTTCCTCTTCGACAGCCGGGGCATCCAGGTGACGCCCTCCGTTCGAGACCAGCAGATTGAGGACTTTGCGACGTGGAAGGAGAGGCGGCGGCAGCTCAAGCAGCTGCTGCAGAGGATCAACGATGCGCTGCCGGACGAGGAATCGTCGAGCGGCTCGGACAACGACAAGGTGTTTGCCGAGATTATTGTGGGAGGCAGGATCGGACACGAGTGGCGCTCCGGTCCGACTCTATAGGGCAGGCAAAGACAAAAATAGGAAATGGGGTTGGAAGAGGTGAGGTGGATCTAGGTTCGTTTTCAACTCCGCGGGTCGGCACTTCAACTGTGCCTTTGTTGGGTCCCTGCCTCTTGCAGAGGGGACCATGGAGAGTGCGCAAGGGCGAATACGCCTTGGGTATCGGATACATGCCACCCACCCACCTAGGGACCAGTTGCTCCAAGGAGTGCGCGGCTCTCGCTTAAGGAGGGTGGCAGCTCTTTTAATGGTGTTCTTTTTTCTTCCTTTTTCAGGGTAGATGACGTTTGAGCGAGCGTGTTTTTCACAAGTTGCCTGGAGTTGGAGGGCAAAAGAGGGCCTCGACGGTCTGGATATCCTTCTACATTTACATATATAATCTTTTTACATACAATACAACGCATACTGCACCCTGCGAGCCCTCATTTACATGTATTTGGTGAATAGTCTTTTTGGCGTCCATAAATGGAAATGCGAAGAAAAGTCGCTGCGGTTCAGCCTCTCAGTCATACACGGAAGCACTCGGCCCACACTAATACTCTTTTATATCATGTTTGGGCCTTACCAGCGCAATTGCTTTCTTCTCTGCTCCTTTCAACGATTGCAGCGGTTGGAGGCATGGCACAAAGCACTACAGGCAAGCGGTGACTACAGTCAGGTCATTGCAGACAGGGACGGCTAACGTTGCACAGGTCCAGCTAATCTATGCCGGTTGTAACCCGAGATGAGCACCGGCTAAGCTAACGGGCGGAACGAACCGTGTGGCATTGGTGGTCTGGAGCACAAAGGCAGGGCGTTTTCCCATTCTTCCTAAGCGTCGGGTTTTTCTTACGGTTGAGGCCCTTGCTTCTATTCCTTGTGCAGGGTCCATTCGCTTCCAACGGCTTTTTTATTTTTGAGTCCCTTGCTCTTGGGGCTCGCCGTCATGCTTTTCCCGGGAAAACACATCCCGGACTTGTGCATTGGGGGCTAAAGCGTGCTGGGACGGAAGAGGTTTATAACAAAGTATTTGCTAGACAATGACAAAAGAGTTTCTCGCGAGTACCGATGTGCCGATGACATTGATGCGTAATGGTGTGACGTGAATTTTCCTTCTTGTTCTTTTTCCTTCTTTTTTATTTGAGTTTTGTTCCTCCAAAGGAAGGAAAAAGAGGGGAGGGCACTTGAGGGCTTTCCACGGAACCTGTTCCCCGTATTCCTTTCGTCTGTATGTTGGCATTGATGATGACACCCACTGCCGGTTTGGGAAGGTTGGCACGCATCCCTTTCCCGGGCTCCCAGAACCTGAGTGATTGCTTGTCGGGGAGGGTCTATATCGAAGAAGACGCCCTAAGTGGAGGGGAGGGGAAGAAGGGAGGGGGGACAACGCGCCAAAGCAGGAGGAAGATGCCCGTTCAAGCCGTGCAGTCAATGGGAGGCGAAGCTGGGCCCCTCGGTGGCCGAAACTCCTAAATGGAGAACGCACACAGCATCAAGTGGGGAAGGGGGAAAACGAGAAGGGCCAGGGAAGAAGGAAAAAAAAGCGGAGAGCGCCTCGTTTTTCGAGAGAGATGGAAGCGCCAGCGATGACGCGTGCGAGGGCCGTATGAAAGGAATGGGGGCCTCGACGCTTGTTCTTCCGCTGGGGATCTTCTACGTTCCAATTGTCAACTTGCCTGTCTCCGGTACATCCATAGATCCATTGTATTACTAGTATGATCGAGGGTCTCCTTGCTGATGTGGGGAGATTTTTGATTTTTTTCTCCCCTGGCATGAAAATAAAGAGTGGGACGAACGGAAGATAGCAAAGTTTTAGAGATGATATGGCTCGTTTCATGAGGTTTACGTTATTATCTTTTCTTGTGCTAGATTCGGACTGGTTAATCAGTGCTCCCTATTTCAGTGCGTCCATCTTGACAAGAAAACGAGTGACAGGCCCCCGAAAAAAAGTCTATTTCAGGGCTTGACGGCGTCAGCTTATTCACCATCTGATGTAATGATAATGGGTTCCAATCTGAATGAAGGACAAGGCCCCCTCTTGTCCTTGCTTGACACTTTGCACTCCGATCCCATGTCGACGTGCACAGCGGGTCCTCGTTTTCCACGTCTTTGTCGCTCGTATCAATGAATTGGCCGGTTCCCGAGCATCCGGGCTGTCAAGGGAGTGGGCTAGCTCGAGCCTGACATCCCTGCCGGTTAAGCCCCGTGCTTTGAGCGCCCTTGTCGAGCGGTTACGTTCATAGCCTGTTCAAGCCTGTCCACCTCGTACCTTTTCACTTCTCCTCGACAAGTGATACAGGGATATGCACTCCACAAATCATTGATATGATACTCCGTTCCCAATGTTGGTGCATCGTCTGCTTTGTATTCAATGTTCCTTGTAAATGATGTTTCCCATTGTACGGCACATCGGTTCTCCACTCGGTAAACCGAAGGCGGTGTGTGTGTCGAGTGGGAGGGACGACGTGACTTGGCCGAAGAGGACGCAGCGTGTGTCCGCTCACAATGGTTATTATTAAGGGCGCCCATTATTAATCCATGTCCGGTATTTCTCCGATCTTTCGATCTTGGTGACCTCAAGTGCTCGGGGACGCCCAGAGAGGGAAACACGCGTCCCAGCACGAGGAGGTCCAGCGAGTCAGAACGGTGCTGGGTGCGCCGTGAATCGTGTCTTTGCCGGGGAAATCAATGGTCCGCAGCCGCGAGATGCGCCGCAGCTGGTCTTGACTGGATGCGGGCAGATGAAGAGTGTGCGCAAAAAGGGTCTTGGATTAATAATAGAGGTCGCCGACGATTTCCTTTTCTTCCCCAAGTGCGTTGCTCTTTGCCTTCTTTCGGCAGACGGCAGCCGAATCCCGGGCTAGCATCTAGTATCATTTTTTTGGGCTGGCAGCGAATCTTTTCTTTTCTTTTCTTTTCTCCTCCAAAAGTAATGTCGTGTTAGCCAAAGGGCCGTGATCTACGGCTTGTTTGTTGCACCTCTTCTGGTCATCCGTCCCGCTGGGTGTCGTGGGCCAAAAAAAGTAGCTGGCCGGCAGCCCCTTTTGACGGCTTCAGGGGTTCAAGGTTTGGCGAACTGTTGCTTGTTCCATAAGTCAAGCTTTTGGCTTTTTTTTTCTCTCTCTCCCAAAACCTCTGGGATTTCTGTTTCCTTCTCGAGTGACTTCGTACTTCTATTTAACGGGGCCATTGTCTGGCTAGTGCTCCCTTCTCGCCCTCGAGTACTAGGGACAAACTATATACAGAACTGTCTCACCTATACTTTGCGTATCCTCTACGACTCTCTTGTTCCTCTGGTTTCTTTCTCTGCTCTTTCTCCCCATCTCTAGCCCTAGGCTGATTCGTTCGACAATATACTGGAACGGGGAATTGGGTTTGTACCACCCCTATTGTCCCGAGGGACCCATTCTAACCGCCACGATTGTGGAGAAGAAGGGCGAGATAGTGCTTCAAAGAGAGGGCTCGGGAGGCAAACAAAAAAAAGGTTACAAAGGCAATATCGAAAATAGAAAGGGCACCAAAAGAAAAGGGGTAGTTCTAGCCCCCCGCCCCCGAGGCACAAAATAGAAGAGGGAAAAAAAGAAGCGCCGAGGAGGAGAAGGAGGAAGAGGGTGGACGAGGTATTAGATGGAAACTAGACACTACACTATGGCGACCATGGTGGGCATCTGGACAAAAGCAATGGGGTCGAGAGAGACTGTAGCACTCTACAATCCAAGAGCTTTTTGTTACTGTGTCCGTAAGAACTCCAGGTGAGCGACGTAGGCCATCGTATTACTGTTACTGTGTATTACGCGGTTGTCCGGACTTGGCTGGGTCGTTGATCCAGAGACAGACGCGCAAACCGGCCAACCTCAATTACGATGGAAAGCTTCTTGCTGTGGGTACGACAGCACGCAGCTGCCACGTCCGAAACTGCCCCAAGAAATCCCCAAGCTTTGAGGGATTTGGGTCCGGGTTGACGATGAGACAAGCAAACCTTGACCCGTCGGTTTCGCTGCCTGGGCTGACGGGCTGAAGAGGCGTCCCACGGAGCTTGAAGACAAGAAAAGGGGAGCAGCGGTTTTTTGTCATTTCTGAAAGTCACCAAAGAGCAGCGCTGGGAGAGAGCGAAAAACCGCAGGCTTTTTTCTTTTCTTTCTTTTGGGTGCTCTTGTTAGTTTTTCCTGTTAACGTTGGGCAGGGCCCGCCCATCGAAGGTGTTTGTTGCCACATCTTCATAGCTGGTCTCCGCCCTATGGGACTGGTCTGGCCTGCCCCTTGTCTAGAAACTCCTTCCGAGAAGGGTTGAAGAAGGGGAAGCGGCCTTGACGTCGGACTGGATGAGCGAGGCCCTTCCCCATTCGACGATTTTATTTTTCTTCGGTACTGGAGTGAATCTCCTGGCCAAGGTCTTGGATCAACCAAACAGCTTGATTCATTGGTTGTCCCTGGACTTGAGGAGAGAGAGAGCGAGAGAGAGGCTGCGTTTTCCTGCACAGTGTCATCAGCGCGCCGAGGACTTTGAGGTTCAGAGGTGGGAACTGGTCGGGTTCGAGCACGCCAACTTCCTTGAACTTAGTTGAGGCGATGCCAGCGGTTGCGTGATCCTCGTTCCCTTTTTCCCTCCCCTTGTCTTTCAAGTCTCCGCCCTTCCATAAAGAAACATTTGAAGTGAATCCGTGTTTTTTGATTCAGTAAGATGAACCCAGTGATCAAAGTCCCCATCAGCACGCGTAGACCAAATAAGTATCGAATGCACCTCCCTCCCATTTCCATTGTGATCCAACGGCCGACTTTGTTTTCCAACAAGGCTTTTTTTCTGTCTGCTTCGCCATAACGTATTATCTTCCTTCATCCTTGCGAAGCCACGCAACACATCGATTATCCCCCCAACCACGTACAGGATACCAGTCCAGGCCAGGCCAGACCATTGATCCACTCTCCCGACTTGCTTGTCTATCGATCCATCTATGCAGTCGGGCTGTTCAGCTCCACCACCCCAAAGAACCCGCCACTGGACCCCCATCCCATCCCATCCCATCCCCCTTCCTCTCCGCGCCACGCAAAGGGAGTCCACCGTCGGAAAATCGATACTTTTGCTTATTGTTCCGTCAGCCGCTCTCCGCGCCGCTGGCTCCCCGAAAACAGAAGACCTGAGAAGAGAGAGTAAAGTTCCACCCCGGGAAGAACCCGTCAGGATCGGAGGATAAGAGAAGACGAAAAAAATAAAGAGTCCACACTGGCGGATGAGAAAAGGAATCGAGGTTTCTCTGGGATATTGGCTTGAGTCCCTCTTGGAGTCCTCCTTCTTATTTTCTCACACACTCGGCACCTTTAGTACGCGCAAACGTCTTTCTTTCTTTATTACACCATAGCGACATACCAAAGTCCATTTCGGGGTTCTTGGCCTCTACAGGAACGCCAGTGCGCTGTTTTTTCTCTCTCTCTCTCTCTCTCTCTCTCTCTTGCTACTGGCGTACCGAAAGGCTGGTAAGGCTCGATAAGGACTTGCGATTCCTTTCACTCCTGGTCGGTCGTTCGTAATAAACGCTTGCAACCTCTCCATCCCACTACGACCCTACCACACGACGAACGGCGTGACCCTTCTTTTCTCCACGGTACCTGCACCGTTCTCAGAACACCAGACAATAATACTTGTGCAAAGCCGTCCATTCCCGCCCGCTCCTTCCCCCCCTTGGGACGTTAATCGGCTCGCCGAACCTCGTCAAAACCGAAGAGAAAAAAAGAGCCGCCCAAAAAAGACAAAGGGGACACCACTAGCCGGAGCAAACATACTGCCGATTCAATCAATTGAAGCGATTCGATTCGTTCAATTTCTCCGCTTTGTCCTAATAGTTGGAAGCCGAGCCCGTAAATCCATCAGGTTGTTTCCCTTTATTCCGGGGAGAAACAAAAAACCAGCCAAGTAAGTAAGTCCATGCACCGCTGAGAAATCAAAAGCAGCAGCCGAACAAATTTACCAGGGGGCCGAATCGAGCGATAGCCTCCCCAGCCAACTGGAGCGCTTTTGGAAGGCAACCCAGCCCAGCCCGGCCAACTGGACATTGTTCAAGTTGTGTTGCAACAAAGCGTGCTGGCGGCTCCTGGGGCCCAAAATACCCCTACTCCCAAGCATTGTGAACTGAATTTGAGGGGCGGAACTTGCTCCACCTCCAAAAGAGTTGACCACTAATACCTGGCACTGAAGTCACTCCACCTCCGCAACGACCCCCAAAACCCGCCATGGCCACTGCCAGCACCACCACCAGCGCCGTGGCACCCCGGTTCCTCCCCCATTCCTCGACGGGCCTGCTGGATCCCAAGAATTCTCCCCTCTCGTCGTCCAGCACCGCCCCCTCCACCATCCACTTTACAACAACCAACACCAACTCAACCTCCACCACCACCACCACCACCACCACCACAACCAAGACCACCTCACCCTCTCCCAAGTCGTCCTCGACCCGTCCCCACCGCTTCATCAATTCGCTCAAATCGCCATGGACCCGAGACGAGTCGCATAATAATAATCCCTACGAGACCTACGAGATGCCGTCCACCAAACATCCCCAGGGCAACAGCAGCCAGTTTAACCAGAAGCTGAAGAATTTCTTCCGCATCAACAGCTTCGCTTCTAACGCGAGTTCCAACTCGGCGGGTAGCGAAAAGACCGCCACCCCGGCAGCGGCAACGGAGGCGGCGGCGGCGGCGGCGGCGGCGGTGGTGGAAGCGGTGCGAGCAGCAGCCATCATCATCTTCCCGGCTTCGGCTACCACTCCTCCCAACAATCCTCCCACCTCGACGGCTCCGGCTCCGGCAAGGGCACTTTCCGTTCCACGCGCTTCTTCAGCAGCACCGTCGGCCGGCTCCGGTCGCAGACGGTCGCCAGCGAGGGCAACCCCTCGATGACAGCATTATCAGCCCGACGGCCCACGCGAACCCCTACTTTGCCCACCAGGGCCTGCCCGGCCTCCGCCATCGAAATGAGGGCTCCGTGCCCCCAGCCCCCGATACCCCCGACATCAAGGTGAACGGGGGCGCCGGCGCCGTCGGCGTCGATCAGCCCACCGCCGCTACCAAGGAGGAGCTCGCTCGCAAGCTTAGGAGGGTGGCGAGCGCTCCCAACGCCCAGGGCCTCTTTGCCAAGGGCAAGGGCAGCGGCGAGAGGCCCGCTACCGCCGAGCTCGGCAAAGACCCCCTCCTCCTGAGCAAGGAGTCGGGCCACCTCGAGCTCGTCAACGGCAAGGTGGTCGCGGGCGACGCGGCCAGGAATAGGAGCATGAGCATCCCCGACAACGATACCCTCGGCGCGCTTCCCCTTCCGTCCTCGAGGACCCCCGCGACGTTTCGGCGGACGTATAGTTCCAATTCGATCAAGATTCGCAATGTCGAGGTTGGTCCGCAGAGCTTTGACAAGATCAAGATGATTGGCAAGGGGGATGTGGGCAAGGTTTATCTGGTGCGAGAGAAGAAGAGCAGTAGGCTATACGCTATGAAGGGTACGATTGACTTTTCATCCCACTCGCGCTTCTCCCTCTTTTTTCTTTTATTTTCCCTTCTCATTTCTATTGCCCGCTTCATTTACCCCGTTTTTGATTTTTACTTGGTTTCTTTTTTTTTCTTCGCCCGGACGATCGCCAGATCAGATCGGTTGGTGTTGTTGTGGCCTTTTCTCTCGGGTTCTTCGGCATTGAACCCGGTTCTCGGAAACTTCGCGCCTCGTTGCTAACGTACTCTCATGAAACAGTCCTCAGCAAGAAGGAAATGATCAAGCGAAACAAAATTAAGCGAGCTCTCGCGGAGCAGGAAATTCTCGCCACGAGTAACCACCCCTTCATCGTCACCCTCTACCACTCCTTCCAGTCCGAGGACTACCTCTATCTATGCATGGAATACTGCAGCGGCGGCGAGTTCTTCAGGGCCCTTCAGACCCGCCCCGGGAAGTGCATCAACGAGGACGACGCGAGGTTCTACGCCGCCGAAGTAACGGCTGCGCTCGAGTACCTCCATCTCATGGGCTTCATCTACCGTGACTTGAAGCCAGAGAGTATGTCACCGCCGTGCCCCCGCTTCGCCCGCGCGCATTACTAATGTATTCACCCCTTGGCAGACATCCTCCTCCACCAGTCCGGTCACATCATGCTTTCGGACTTTGATCTCTCGAAGCAGTCTGGTCCCGGCGGCAAGCCGACAATGATTGTGGGCAAGAACGGCGCGAGTACGACATCGCTACCGACGATAGACACGAGATCATGCATCGCCGATTTCCGAACCAATTCGTTTGTCGGCACGGAGGAGTACATAGCGCCTGAGGTCATCAAGGGTAGCGGCCATACCAGCGCGGTAGATTGGTGGACGTTGGGCATCCTGATCTACGAGATGCTGTACGGCACGACGCCGTTCAAGGGAAAGAACCGTAACGCGACATTTGCCAACATCCTGAGAGAGGATATCCCTTTCCCCGACAGCCCTAGCAAGGAGCCAGTCTCCAAGTAGGTTTTCCCCTTTGGTTTTATGTTTTTTTTTTTTTTTTCCTCTTCCGTCATCTTGATTGAGGTAGCAAACTAACAGGGTACCCTCTTTGTGCAGCCTCTGCAAGTCTCTTATCCGCAAACTCCTCATCAAGGACGAAAACCGGAGGTTAGGAGCTCGCGCGGGGCTTCCGACATCAAGGCGCATCCCTTTTCCGGACGACGCAGTGGGCGCTCATCCGGCACATGAAGCCCCCATCGTGCCCAATGCCGGCCGCGGAATCGATACGATCAACTTCCGGAACGTCAAGGAGAGCGAGAGCGTCGACATCTCGGGATCGAGACCCATGGGACCCTTGGGCAAGAGCGTCGCTGTCGATACTGGGCTCGCGACACCGGGCGACGGTACCGATCCCTTTGAAGAATTCAACAGCGTTACGCTACACCACGACGGGGACGACGACGGCGGCCTTCATCTTTCGATGGGGAGGAGTCGTTGAGGCTAGGCGGGTGCTGCTGAGATTTGTCCATGATGTGGGGCGGGGGGCTGCCGGGCTAGTGGTGGCTGATGAGGGAGGAGGAGGGGGCTGGCAGGGCTGATGGGGCTGATGGGGGCTGACAAGGAGTGAGGAGTCTAGGGATTGGTCTTCTTTTTTCTTCTTTTTATGTTCTTTTTTTTTTTCTGTCTTTTTCATTATTCATCCTTTTTGGTTTCCCCATTTCTTTCTTCTTGGCTTTTGTCCATCTTTGCTCACGGGCAATGGCAAAGCACGAGACGGAAGAAATGGAACGAAAAGGAGCGCATTGTGAAAAGCACAAAGGGGGACGAGAAACATAGCGAGAGAGAAGCGGCAGCGAAGACTTGAGGTTCGTCCTCGGCCGACGAAAGATGCGTGGTTAGTCCATATCTCCAGGATGGGTTAGGAAGGATATCACTTGGGAAATTCATATATTTCTTGTTCTTTTTATCCTTTTTTTCTTTCTTTCCTCTTCCCGTTTCCTTTCGGATATCGTCATGCTCGCGCAGTGCCCTTTGTTTTTCTTTGGCTTGGTCTGCCTTTTTTTTTTTTTCTTTTTCTTTTTAAAATCCCCTTCCCAGACTCACCTGGTCGCTTCTACATCTGTGTGGATCTCTTACCCCTTCCCCGTTGTCTTACATCCGCATGGTGGGGAAACGGAGCGTTTGTGCATGGGACAGGAGGGATGCGGTTTATACGCCTGGTGTGTCCCTGCCCTTTCGTCTCTTCTTTGACATTTTGGGTTTCTAGTCTGAAGGGACTGGAGGGCGCTGGCTGGTGTTGGTTGATATCCGTGTTTATCCCGTCAGCCCCTCTGTTCTTCGGCTTTCCGTATTACCTTGTCTCTTTGTTTCCTCATCTCCTCTCTCCCTATCTCCAATGTCTTGCTTTCCTTTTTAGTCTCAATTCTCTCTCTCTTTGCCATTGTTTGACAGCACGTCTCTCTCCGTGTACGGATTCAAACGGGAAGGCTCGGTCTGGGTAAGGGTTCTACTTCTCTTTTTTTTTTTTTTTGCTTGTTGGTAGGGTAATGCTGCTCTTTTTATATCAATATAAGCGAGATTGCATTTTCTATAGGGGACTCTTTGACATTTTCGCTGCTAGATCATGTCTGCCTCGGGCTTAATCTGTATACGTATGCGTGGCGCTGACGTCTGATTGCTCGCCGTCGTGAGAATCAAGTTCGTTGTGCTTGTAGATTCGAGCGGCTTAAAGGCTCCGCAGAGGTTGGAGCGAACATTCAATGGTTCCAAGGGAGCTAAAAGTCTAAGCGACGGCCCACCGACAATTTCTCCGGTGGCCCTTTAATGTAACGCGGATTTCTGTTATGGGGCCATGGGGTATTGCAGGTTTGTCTGGCATCCTTTCCTGTTGGCTTTTTTCGAGTGCTATATTGGGCCCAACGGTAATGGACTGGAAGACGGCCTCCATGGGGATCACGGGGCCCTCCGCTTTGTGTTGAGAGACGCTAGGGGCGAGTTGAAAGCCTTTCAAGATCACTTGTCCATGTTCCCTGATTCCTCCCTTTCCGCGTGCTCCTTTTACATTGTTTGAGAGAGAGAGGCCAATGGGGGCCCACAGCTGCACTGATGGACTCACCTTCTCGAGTCCTAGGACATCTCTGCAAGGGGTAGTGGGATTCAAATGGGCCACCGCGATGACATTTTCGTTTCCAGACAGTGGCTGGCTATTCACGAAAATGACTTGTTCAGCTGCTTGATTCAAGGCTGATTGGGATATACCGTGCATACATCGAGGTCTCGGACGGAGACGTCCGCTGGAAACGCAGGCCAATGGGGAGGGCTGGGTTGAACTTCAGTGCGATTAATGTGTATGAATTTCAGCGGCCTCTGGTCTCCCTTCTCCCTTGGCGTTTGGTCAGCCAGTGCCAAATTTGACGGTGTTCGATTGGACTCTTGAGCATCAATATATTGATCTATCGACGGCGTCCCTCAGCTTGAGGTCCTTCGCAGTCCGAAGTGGCCCAGTGCTTGGAAGTGGAAGTGCTGCCAAGGTGAGGGGCAGTTAAAGTGGGTGGGTACCTCAACCTTGTATCGGCGAGGCGAACCAAAACCATGAACTCGTGGTGCGAGTTGAGCCTCGACAGTGGATCGATCAAATGCTGCTTGTAGTAGGCTCTTGCCTGTGCTTGGACCCCAACGGCCGACGCTAACCAGCGTGCTCTTGGCCAGCCAGTGCTTGCACGGGTTGTGCAAATCAAATAATTGATAGTGGGTGGCTCCAGCCGATACGCGAAATGCTGATGGGGGAAACGTAGGAAAAAAAGTCACTGACATCACCGCATTCCCAAACGGAGCCAGCCAAAAGGGAGATCACGATCTAAACTTGCCTCCTCCGCCTAAAAAGCTTCCTCGTGAACTAGAACCTGTCCAAACTCTTCGCAACTTTTCCCCAGTAGCCATTATTACCGCTCACCTCACTCCGCGCCGAAAATTTTTTTACTGGACTTGCTGGCGCGATCATTCGAGATTTTATCTCTTTGAGAACAGCGCCTTATCTGTCTTTTCTTTTCTTTTTTTCCCCTTCCCCAGGTGGTATCATCTCTTGGGTGTCTTTCGGACAGGTTCAACCCCCGACGTATCCACACACACCCCACCCGACGAGTTGCGAGCTTCTCAACATACGATCGATCCTCTCGAAAGCTTTCATCGACTCTCCCCGCTCATGTTTTTAGCGAGCTAAGCCACCACAATTTCTGGCTTTCACACAATCTCTGGTCTTCGATTGATTGCACCGCATAAACCTAGATGTCGTCGGTTGTAACCCAGACATCGACGAGGGGCGCTCGCTCCGCCCTCCAGGCTAGCCGGGGCCCGGTAAGGGCGAGGCGCTTACTCTCGTCGAGAGCTGCCGCCCGACGTATCCCATCCACATGGGGACTCGCGAGGACGCCATGTACGAGTATCGACGAGAGGGCGCAGGCGTCGGAGACGAGCTGCGCGGCTGCGAGAGTGATCGCGATCCCTCCGTCGTACAGGAGCTATTGGGTCCACGCGGGAGAGGAGACGGATCCTCTGGAGGGGCGAAGAAGAAGAAGCTTGATGACGAGACGAGGCTCAACCTTGGAACGAGTAAGCCATCTCCTTGATGCACCTAAAAGTAATGTGATGCGGGTTTAGAGCACGAGAAGGAATCTAGGGAAGGAAAAAAAGGTCCATTCCGCAGCTAACCGTACCTGAACCTAGCCATACGAATCCTCAAAGAACGCCTCCCCACGATACTCCAACAACCCCTCCCCTCCGAAATCCTCGCCGACAACATCTCCCTCCACCTCTTCCCCTCGACCCACCCCCACCTCCCCGTCGCGAACGGCAAGGCCGCCTACAAAGCCGCCTTGTGGACCTCCCCGCTCGCCTGGAACCGCCTCCCCATAATAGGCAACGTCGGCCTCGAGGTCCAGTCCATCCGCCTACAGCCGGGCCCCTTGCCCTTCACCCCGCTCCGCACCGGCTCGCTCGAGGACATGCTGGTCGTGCGCTGGGTGACCGAACCCTCCTCCCTGCCCTCCGAGTTTTTGCGCAACATGGCTGCCCGCATCGGCGGCGGCTCTCAGCCCGCTGCCCAGGAGTTCATGGGCCTCTTTGCGTTCCAGTTCGATAACAAGGGCCGCGTCCTCGACCACACCATCGAGAGCGCCGAGCATAGTAGGCACTGGAGTAAAGGTATGGGCTCTAGCGTCGTCCGGTTCACGGATAAGCTGCTCGGCGGCATCAGGCAGAGGGGCGAGCCGGATCCCGTGCTTTTCCCGGCCTGTTCTGCGAGGGGTCGTGGTGGTGGTGGCGGTGGAGGGGACAAGGGGGACAAGGACTAAACCGTGATGTTTTTCCGCTTGTCCCCCGTCTTCTTTGAACGTGTCTGCATTTTCTTTCCTTTCACTTTTGGTCATTAGACGATGCGGATGTATGCGTTATGCGTGGATGCTGAAATCTGTATACCTGGCGTTTTGTTCCCCCTTTTTCCTTTCTCTTTTCCCATTCCCCTTTCTCCCTCTTTCCCTCGCTCGCTCGCTCCCTCAATAGGAATAGGGCGGTCCAGCATCAAAGGGAGAGAGGGGGTGGCCCGGTGCGATGAAGCAACGGAATAAGGCACATCATGATCTCTCCGCAAGGAAACGTAAGATTGAGACCGAGGCAAACACTTGCACACTCAAAGACTTGTTTTCTTTCCTTCTTTTGGTCCCGATAAACATTTCCTCAACGGTTGTACTATACGAAGCTCGTTTTCTCTTCTTTTACATGGCTGTTTTGCTTCTTGTGTCATCCATTTTCTATCCAGCCTTGTTCCGATACTTTATACTCTCTTTCCTCATACACTTATCAATCTAGCACGTATATAGAGGAAAGGGTCTTTTTTATCGGATCTAGATGGAGTTATATAATGCCAATACCACTCTTCACTACATCATCTGTCTCTGCGTTGTCATCTCGGAAACTAGAGTCGCTAGGTGTACTGGTTTACTGCCCTTTGGCCCTTCTTCATCCTAGTCCATGCCCAATGCCTCGCCGAACTCTCCACGCTCATGTCTTCTCTCGCTCTAGCCCTAGAAACAAAGGTAGAGAGTTTGGTGATGGCCTGTTGTTCCTACTAGGCACCACCACGAGTCCCAAGCCGCGCGGATTCAGTAAAAAGCGTGAGATACTGCTGCGCTTGCGCGTGTACATGCGTACCTTTATGGCAAAAGAGAAACCAGGTATTGTATAACAGCAAAAATGCCCGCTGTGTCTAAGGAAAAGACGCCTGTTCTATCAAAAGGAAAAAGGAAATTGTGGCCAGGGCTATCTTGCCCCCTCAACATCCTCCCTCCAGGCCCTTTCAGGCCGGTCTTGCCCTCCTTCGCCGTCAGTCCTACGCCCATCCGAACGCGCGGCCATGGCCTCACTCCCGGGAGGCGGGTTGTAGGGATCGTACGCAGGTTCTCCTCCCACCCACGCAGCGGGCTGAGCGGGTACCAGGTTGTCCATCTCGTTGTCGCCGACGTGCTCCCAGGACTCCTTGTCGCTAGAGGTGCCGCGGAAGAGGGCCCAGGGGTAGGGCTGGCGGATGATGATGTTGTTACTGCGGTCTTGGGCGGAACCTTTGCCCTTGGGGAGGATGACGGCACCGAGGAATGCGGAGGAGAAGGCGCACTTTTTGGTCTCGGGTTAGAAAACTTGCGAGGTGAAAGTGGGTCCAAGAACTGGTCTTCCTTCGTGATGGCTGGGGTTTTGGTTTCACTTACAAGTACCATGAAGGGCAGAATAGCAATGTAGGCCCATACGATGGCCCTCTATAGGAAAGTGGCTTGTTAGCACAAACACAAAACTTGGACGAGAGAGAGTGGGAAGGAGACGGGGGGGGCAGTTACCTTGACTTCTTCAACACCCGCCTTGTCTCCCCAGGCCCAAGGTCGTCGATAGACTCGACGCCGTGCGAAAGATCAGTCCCGGATCCGAGGCCCGCGACGTTGTTAAAGACGGTGGACATGAGGGTGTGCCCGATGGTGCCGCCTAGGGGTTCGCCACGGCGATGAGCGATACTACTGTGGCCACATGCTGGGGGAACATGCCAACACCATGCAGCGGTACTACAGTTGGAAAGAGAAGGAAAAAGTCAGCTTCCGGGTTTCCCCTTTAATGGCCCACTATTAAGGGGAGGGGTCTTACAGCTGATAAACCGGAACCCGGAGCCGGCACCGATGAGGGCCACCATGCCATAAATCACCGGCTTTCTCTCTGCCCAAAGGGCCCAGGCTAGGACGCCGATTCCGACGGCCTGGCAGACGGCACCGAGGAGTATGGGGCTGTATGTGGTCCGAGGCCAGATTCTAGTCATAAAGGACGAGCCGTAGACGCCAGCTGAGGGAGGGCAAGTGTGGTTAGCGTAGCTGCCATATATTAGGCGGAGGGGGTATTTGGGGTCGGCGTGGGTGTGGAAGAGGGGTTCAACTTACCACCTACTCCTGGAGTAAAAAACAGGAGGCTTATTCCCGCATCCGTAGGGTCTTTTCCGAGCACGAGGATGAAGTAGATACTGCAAAAGTAAAATACCTAGGGGAGGTAAGCATCTGAGCAGATGGCCCTACAGAGATTAGGGAGATTCGTTGCCTGCTTACCGAGAACATGGCCATGCCGGCTGACAGCGAAGAAAAGACGAGCAAGCCGACGTTCCTGTCTGTGAGTATGTCCCACCTCACCATCGGCGTTTTCCAGCTCCACTTCAACCCCAGCGTCCTCTGCGGCGTCATCAAGAACTCCCACGCGCCCCAGGCGATGGTCGTCGCGACGCCAACGCAAAGCGGTACAAGGACGGCGGGCGAGTCCCATGCGTAGATGGGACCGGCCCATGTGAGGGCTAGGACGACGAGGCCGAAGCCGAAAAGGAACAGTACCTGACCCCAGTAATCGACCGTCTTCAGCCGGTAGGCGAGGCGGTCTTTGCGGCCGGTCTCTGTGGCCTCTGGCAGCTGGGGGATGGGCTGCGGTCCGAGTAGTTCTTTGCGAACGACAAAAGCGATGAGGACCATGCCTACGGCGGCGACTGGCAGGTTGATGCCGAAGCACCATCGCCAATCAGTCTCGACAAGGTAACCTAACAGAAAAAGAGTGTTAGCTTGGCATACATGCGTCATGGTTAAAGCGCCCCACGGCCCCGGAATGGTGAATTTCAAACCTCCGACGATCGGTCCTAGCCCATACGAGATACCCCCGACAGTCGAAAAAATGGTCCAATTCGTAGCGCTCTCCCTCAACGAGACCTTGTCGGCCAGGATGACGCGAATGACCACATCGAGCCCCGCGCAGGCGATGCCCTGCACCGCGCGACCAAAGAGCAAGAGACCAAACGCGTTGGTGGGTGCCGCGGTGCACAGGGCGCTGCCGACGAGCATGAGAATCGTGGCGACCTGGACGGTGCCGTGACGGCCAAAGATGTCGGCCATGCTGCCCCAAAGGGGATGAAGGCGGCGGCCGTGAGGTTGAAGGAGGAGACGACCCAGTTTTGCTGGTCGAGCTGGTGGAATTTGTCGGCGATGGTCGTCAGGGCGGTGGCTACGCTGCAGAGATATAAAACATCACTTATGTTTAGCAACCTTCTTTTTCTGGTTTATCCCGGTTGCGAGCGGGTCTTGTGTCCCTTGGTGAACCCGCTAGGCACGGGGCAAGGCTTACATGGTAGTATCCAGAGATTGGAGAGCAAAGGGGAGCATGAGGCCTATGATGATCTTCCACATATACTTTCTCGCCCGGGCCTGCTCTTCGGCGCACTTTGGACAGGCCAGTGTCGGCTCCGGGTGGTGGCTGCATTGGACGAGCTTCGGGGCCCGCTTTGAGAGCCCGAGGATCCTCGATATGAAGCCCATCGCGGCGTTTAGAAGATGGAGAATCCCATTGACCAGACTGCGCACGAGATCGAATATGAAGGTGATAATCATGCTGCTCCTCTCCGGTGAACTGTTTCTGCTCCCTGCTTCCCAGGGTATTTAGCCTTACCGTCACTCAACGATTTAAACGCCGGGTAAGCATAAGTGGAAGGGGGGAAAGAGAAAGGAAAAAGAACTACGATCACAAGGCGACGGAGCAGGTCGGAATCTCATCACGAAGGGAGGGAGAAGGACAAAATTTACGAACCCGCACGATTTTTGATGACCCTGCGATGTAATCTTGAGATCCTTTCGCGCCCCAACCAGGGAGTGCGTAACAAGGCACGTAAGCTGGCAGGATGCGGCGCAGCGCCGATCGTTTGACACGGCAAAGAAAAATAAAAGAATACAAAAAGAAACGCCAAGACACGAGGAGAGGGGCTATTCTGATATCAGCTAATCATCAATTTCAACTCCATCCTGTAGTAAAGCTCAAAGATAACTCATGGCTTGGTTTCTCAACAGCAACGGGAGGGCCTTGTAAGCATTGAAGCTGGCACCAAATGGATTGTTCGATGGGCGAGGCCTGGGCTACTAAGCCTGCGACGGTAGAGACAGCTCTGGGAAGATCTGAACTGGTTTGAGAAAGGGGGAAAGGCAAAAAGGATCATGTTGGAGATTGATGCTGATTTGCAGCTGCAAAGATTCCACAATTGCTGCAGTGGCCTAATATCGGCTGCGCAGTCAGCCACCCGTTGCGCCTCAAACGTGGCAAAGCCATTGGACGGGCTGTTCTCGCAAGACTAATCAACGGCTCCTCGAGCAGTCGCGGAGAGTACCGTGGCTAAGCTATCGGAGAGGAAGAGAGGGCATTGTCCAGCGAGACGTGCGGTCGAGATGGTGAGAGGATATTTCCTAGATGACGACACTCGGCCCCGCTCCTCTAAAAATGAAGTCCGGCGAAAGGGCGGGGAATCCGGGGATTGAGGGCTGGGCGTCCAAGGCCGAAATCCGAAAGTCGGCCGGGGGAGAGCTGGAGACTGTCTGGGGGAGGGCACTAACGCGAGCCTCCAGTGCGCCGGGGAGCGAGTAAACCCTCGGACCTAGGGCATCGAAAGGAGTTCTCAGATCAAGTATGCGAATACCTCAAGCTGCCTCTGACCTAACATCATGATCAGTTGATGCATAACCCATCTCTGGATGTTAGCAAAGGTCAAAGCAGCAGCGCTTCGACTGATGGTTCATCGCTAAACCAGACTCAAAACGAGACAGGAGCCTATGGTTGGCAGAGGCTAGTCTTGCATAGAAATGGCGCAGCTGGTCCATCGAACGGTGTATTTTTTTAAACTCGACTTTTCCTCCCTTGAGGCTGTTGATATTGAATCTTAAAGTGCAATATAGCCAACTGCCAGGTGCACTCACCGGCGCTAAACAGCACCGACTATCCCCTATTCTATCGGCGCCATCTGGTGCATCGTTTCTTCCTGGTTATGCCCAACCCTTGCGATCTCTTGACCTTCCCTTTGAGGGGAAGAGCGATGCAAGGAGGTGCATAGCAACGGAATCAATGCGCTGACTGGTTATCCGGAGGGAACATTGAAGGGCTGGGTTCTTCTAAACCAACTCCCCCAAAGTTGAATAATCCAATGAATCGGTTCGAGACACACCTTCGGAAATACGGGCTAAGTGAAATGATAGAGCGCCCGTTAATCCGACCCGCCCGTCGTAGTGCTGTGTCCTGGTCTTGTTTTGGTACCTGAAGATTTCATCAGGGACCTTTGGCCTAGACTTTCCAGTCGGCTCAAGACTCCGTCAAAGGCTGTCGCGCGGCTTTCACATGTATTTCCAATTCCCGCGTGCGTGGGGTCCAGGTTAGCGAAGGAGGGAAGGAACAATACTGTTGGAGAAAGGTCCGCCCGCCCCGCAAGCCTCCAAGTTGGAGAAAACACCATTGATGGCACCACGTCGGTTCTTCCTGTAATACTCCCTTTTCTCTTACGAGAGGTAAAACTTGGCCCTCGTTGAAATTATAAGCTAGACAGAGAAAGCTAACTTTGATAGACTATCGTTTTCATCGCCTTCTTAGGCCACGCATGTGCTGCTAGAAGAACGAAAGAAGAAGGGGGAAAAATTGATAATCTCGGCCTCGTGGATGGCACGCAACAGGATCGATTCCCCGCTGCCAAGTCGAATGATGAACCCTCTCCACTCCCAAAGTATGGAGATGGGTGTGCAAAGGGGGTGGTAACATAGGCTTAATCTTGCCACACCATGCTCGATTCGGCACTCCCGTTCGTCCTTAAACCCCACACGCCTGAGGGAAAATAATTAACCAACGAAGCGGAAAGGGGCGTGGGGCGGGCGGCGTGCACTCCCATTTGCCCGCCCGAGAGAAGAATAAAGCAAAAGTGAGAAGAGAAAGAATTCCCGCGCCATCTAGACGGCTCTCGGTTCGAGGAAGGGAGTCCGAAAAAGGAGAATGAAAAGCCTGGGACGCTCGACGCAAGCCAAGCCAAATGGTGGAAACCCTACCCTTAAACTTGGATACAATGGATCTCCCACCCTCGCCGTGTCCTCGTTTCGATGCTGCACAAAGGGCGATTTCATGGACGTTTGCTTGCCCCTTCTCCCGCATTCCCCACAGTGGCGGGCTCCACGGTTGAAAAGAACAGACCATCCAGCCGGGGAAAGGTGACCTTTACATCTGACACCACTGGCTGACTGAAGAGGGCTCCGACCCCAATTTAGTTTTCAGTGTCCACATGGGTTTCCGCAAACCCCAGACTGGAAAGAAAGGAAAAGAAACCAGTGAGGGCATGGAAATACAGGAAGTAAAGAGGTCGAGGGTTGAAAGGGACAAAGACCGGCAGCTTCACAATGCTAGTTTCTATCGCGTAGAACAATCCTCCATCGACACTTTGATTCCGATAAACTAGGGAGGAGTGAGTGGTGGTGCAGCCATTGATATCGGCACTTGCCAGCCCAACTAGTGGGTAGAATCATGTGTCCTGAGGCTTTGAAGCCACGGGCCATTTTAGGTCGAGGGCACCCGAGGTTGTCACGCCCCCAAAACCATCCACTCACATCATTTCCACACCTTCGGCAGTGTCAGCTGCCTAGAGTTGCTTTCGTCAGGGTCAAGCCTTGGTCTATGATTCAAGAGCGAGATTAGCAAAAGCCTGAGACCGATCCTTGTTCCCTGGTTGTAGAGAGGTAGGGTGCGAAGAAGTGCTTGGCCCTCGCCCACCCCTGACCCGGCTTTGCTAAAACCTTTCTTAGGCTCTGATATCACCGCCGCCTGGGCCAGATTTCTCACTCCACCTTTGTCGTCACCACATCATTGCCCTATTCTCTGGCCTTTGTCTCCCTCACCAGGCGAGTCAGTTGTTGCTGCCCGGATCTACTCTCGAGAGAACCCTCGCCTTCGACTCTCGGCCGTCACGAGCAGTGTCTAGGCCCGTTTTATCGCTTGTGAAAAAGGCCTGTCTTTTGACTCTTTGTCTTGCCCTTTCTCGGCAACGTCATTGAGGAGCCATTTCCCCGCGCTTCCGCCTCATTCGCCCGATTGAGCTTGGATTTTTCCTCCCCACACGCCCCCGTGGCTTGCCGTTTCGAGAACCTCCCGTCGTCCGAAAGGTGACGATTCGCCTTTTGCGTCCCTCAAACCCATCAAACCAGACCCGTAACCCCAATTCTTTATAGGTTATACCTCCCATCATTCCCTTCTACATCGCTACTTTAGCTTGCTTGGCTCCGCATCACGTTATTTCTGTGGGGCTCATTCTTGGCTTGGCTTTCTCCGAAAAGGTCCTTGCATCTTCCCTGCGGTCCTTGTGTCCCGCGATAGCTGCTTGCTTGTTTTCCCCAAGCCCTAGAGAGACTTGGAGATTGTCCATTTTCATTCTTCCCCTCCTTTTTTTTGTCTTTTTCACCCAAGGGACGCAGAAAGAGTCGAGGTGTTGCATACCCGTTTTGAAAGGTAATACCCTAATCCCACCGTCCAAAAATCCCCCTTGCCCATTTTCAGTTGGAAGCCGGTAGCATCTTGCGCAGATCGGCGAGCACCAAGGAATCCAGATCACTCGGCCCATTCCCTCGGTAGAGAAACGAGGAGAGTGCGGAGAAAGAGCCTCGAGGAGGAAACCGGCAAGCACGGACTGGACTTGGGGCTCGCGATAGTGGCCGCGAATCAAGGGGCCACCCGCTCTCGTCTTCTCATATCGCTTCCCGATGGGTTGTTTTCCCCGACGTTTCTGAATTACTGACATATCAAGTTTGCAGTGTCCAACTCGCCCTGCCTTGCATCTACACCCGCACGCGTACACGCGCAAGATCCCTTCTTCTCTTCTCCCTATTTCCTTGGCTCCCATCCTCCGTCGACTGTGCATCTACTGCCGCTCTGCGTGCTGACAGTTGGCTGATTCTCTCCATTGTCGTTCTGGTCACTCTATTGCCCCCTCCACACTCCACAAAACCCCTGATCCCTTGATCCGGACCAGTCTACATCGAATCCGCTTTCTCCAATTTCCCGTTTCTCCCACCCCCATTACTAAGTGCGGAAATAAAGGTTAGTGGTTCATTCCTCTGTCTTTCCTACCTACTCCGTCCTCTCCTACTCGGCCGTTTCTCTCATGTATCCTTTTTGAGTCTTTCCCCGCCAGCCGCCAGGGATGACGGCTCGGCAAATCCTGAGCCTTCAGCGAGCGCTGCCTTCCCATTGAACACCGCATCGCACCGGGCCTGCGGAGCCCACTCATTATTTTTTTCTTTCTTTCTTTTTTCTTTTTCCCTCTATTTCTGGTTTGCTTGGGCTCGGCGCTGTTCTGCTCCCCGCTACCCTTTTGCCTTGCGCCCACCCCCTCCCCTCTCTGTTTCGGGACATTTGTACCGTCCACAAGTCCAAGATGTCTCATCGACTGGATACGCTCATCTACATTGCGACTGGGCATGTTACCTCTCTTTCCACCCCGTGCGCGCACGAGTAAAGAGTTGTTGCACCATGGCGTACTGTCCCCATGGGGGCTCGTGGGCCGGGCCCCGTGTCCGTCCTTCCTATTGCCCCCGTTTACACTCTACCCCCAGTCTCGAGCTCTTCCACTCGTACCCTGTTGGCCTTCCTTTGCGCGTCTCGTCAGGTCGCCGCTGGACGAAAAATGTCGCGCCTTTCTTCACTTGTTCTTCTCTCCGTTGGCATGTGCTAGCTCCACTTGATCAACATCTGTCTTATTCCGTTGTACCTCTCCTGGTGCTTTGGGAACCACCCCCTCCTCAGGGTTGCGACTGTGAGAGATGACGGGATGGCGCTTGCCGACCACGTTCCTTGCTGTTACCGGCTCCATCCCCCGTATTCCCCACCCCTTGGCTTCGAGACTGGTCCTGACTTAGGTATACCAAGTCTCTTCCATGTCTCCTAGTCTTCCGTCATGAGCCTTTGCCGCGCGACCCACTTTCGTATATCTTGACTGTGTCTGCCCTCTGTCCGATCGAGTTCGCCGCGTTCGCGGTTACTCGTTATCATCTTGCCCTTTCCCCTTAAACCACCCTAGCTGCTTTGCTACTTATTCTTCTCGGACACGTCTTTATCATTTCTTTTGACATCCCTCCCTTTTTCTTTTACCTTCCTGCTACCGCCCCTTGTTCATGTGGCATCGTCGAGTGTAATGCCCCCTTTCTGTTTTCAAGATTGCCATTACTTTTACCGAACCGCCTTGCGCGGTCTCAACGTCAGCACCTACGTCTCGCCTCTATACGCTTGATTCCTACCCCGGTTGATTTGCCTTTCTACACTCTTCTCTCATTTTCCATCCCCACCTATTGGCCTTTTCCTTTCGGACCAGTTTTTATTGTTCCATATAAAACCTTGCTGTTCGACCTGGAACTTGCCCTTTGGCTGACAACATGACTGCCACTCAAGTCCGTGTCTTTACACCCCTCGAGCCCTTGGAGAAACGCTGGAGCAGCCCGTTCCCGAGGTAGTTAGTAGTCCCGAGCCTAGAATACGCACTTTGCCTACCGTACCGAAAACCAACGGTGTGAGCGGCGTGAACGCAGTAAACGGCGTGAACGGCGTCAACGGAGCCGCAACGAACGGCGTCAACGGTGTGAACGGAACAAACGGAGCCTCGAAAAAGGCCGATCCGTCACCCCTATCGAAGCAAGCGTATCCCCGGATCCCACCAGTTCACTACAGGAAGATGCCTGCGGAACGAGGAATCACCTTTGCGGGCCAGGAAACCCTGCCAAAGCTTCCCATTCCCGAACTAGAGCAAACCTGTGACAGGTATCTCGCCGCCTTGAAGCCTTTGCAATCGTACCGGGAGCATGCCGACACGAAGCACGCGGTGAGAGAGTTTCTGAAGAATGAGGGCCCTGACTTGCAGGAGAAGCTCAAGAAGTACGCTCTTGAAAAGACGAGTTACATTGAGCAATTTTGTAAGTTTTTGTTTGAGTAGAGCCTGCGAGCTCTCGGAAGTTGAGATGTTGAAGAAAACAGAAAATAAAATGACCCGGCTAACAGCGAACTGATAGGGTATGACTCGTACCTCAACTTTGACAACCCAGTGGTGTTGAACCTGAACCCCTTTTTCCTTTTGGAGGATGATCCCACTCCTGCGAGGAATAACCAAATCACCCGGGCCAGTTCTCTCGTAGTTTCCGCCCTTGAGTTCGTCCGGGCGGTCCGGAAGGAGGAGCTTCCCCCAGACACCGTCAAGGGAACGCCGCTGTGTATGTATCAGTTTTCGAGGCTTTTTGGTACCGCCCGTGTTCCTACCGAAGCCGGCTGCCGCATCGAGCAGGACCCCGAGTCCAAGCACATTATTGTCATGTGCCATGGCCAATTCTACTGGTTCGATGTTTTGGACGATAACTCGGATCTCATCATGACCGAGAAGGATATTGCGGTCAACCTTCAGACTATTATCGACGACGCCACTCAGACTCCCATCCAAGAGGCGGCGAAGAGCGCTCTCGGTGTCCTTAGCACGGAGAACCGAAAGACCTGGTCGGGTCTCCGCGACCTCCTTACCCGTGAGGAAGGCTCTAACAATGCCGACTGCCTCAGCATCGTTGATTCGGCGCTCTTTGTTCTCTGCCTCGATTACACCGAGCCCACCACCGCCGCGGCTCTGTGCGGGAACATGCTTTGCGGTACTAACGAAGTCGAGAGAGGCGTGCAGATCGGCACTTGCACGAACCGATGGTACGATAAGCTCCAAATCATCGTCTGCAAGAACGGTAGTGCTGGTATCAACTTTGAGCACACTGGTGTCGACGGCCACACCGTCCTCCGATTCGCCAGCGACGTCTACACGGACACCATTTTGAGGTTTGCGCGAACCATCAATGGCCAAGCCCCGACCCTCTGGGCGTCGACCAGTCCCGACCCGTCGAAGCGCGATCCCGAGAGTTTCGGCGACGTCACCACCACCCCACACAAGCTCGAGTGGGACATGACCCCCGAGCTCAGCATCGCCGTGCGCTTCGCGGAAACCCGCCTCGCCGACCTCATTGGCCAAAACGAATTTGAGTGTCTTGATTTCTCCGCGTACGGCAAGAACTTCATCACCTCCATGGGGCTCTCACCGGATGCGTTTGTGCAGATGGCTTTCCAGGCTGCCTACTATGGTCTCTATGGCCGCGTGGAGTGCACCTATGAGCCAGCCATGACGAAGAAGTACCTCCACGGCCGAACCGAGGCCATCCGCACGGCGTCGGACGAGTCAGTCAACTTTGTGCAGACCTTTTGGGCGGACAACGAGGCGGAAAAGAAGGTGGAGGCTCTCAAGAAGGCGTGCCAGAAGCACGTGAGCACGACGCGTGAGTGCTTGCAGGCTGAAGGCTGCGATCGACACTTGTATGCACTCTTTGCGTGTGGCAAAAGCTTGTCGACGACGAGGTTATGAGCGATGTTAGCAGCAACGGTGGCTACTCGTACTCATCTCCCATTGACGGCTACTCGGAGCGGGACGCCAACTCGGTTGTCGGCAGCCCCAGCAAAGACTCGCTCCTCAATGGCGAGGTTGGTGCCAGCATCTCCAGTGGAAGCCCGCGCCGGCGCGGCGACAGCCAGAGTTCACGGTCCCGGGGCGACAACGGCTCGCAGCCTCTACCCTCATCTTTGCCGACCACGGCTGGGACAGGCTCAACACGACCATTATCTCGACGTCCAACTGCGGCAATCCCGCGCTCCGCCAGTTTGGGTTCGGCCCCACTTCGGGCGAAGGGTTCGGTATCGGCTACATCATCAAGGACGACAGCCTCTCCATCTGCGTTTCGAGCAAGCATCGTCAGACGCGCCGCTTCGTCGACACCCTCGAGAGCTACTTGCTTGAGATGAGGCGCATCCTACGCATCACGACACGCAAGGCGACCACGACCAAGAGCACGAGGGCGCGAGAAATCGATTCGGACACGCACAGAGTCAAGACACACCACCAGCGACCCAAGCCCCGTGGCAGGATGATTACGGCAACCGACATTCAGCGGTTGAGCATCAACGGTACCATGTCGCCTGCGAACGAGAGCATCGCCCTCAGTGAGGATGACGACATTGGAGGCTGTAAGTTCTTTTTCCTTGTTTCTATTTTTCTCTTTATTCTCCCAGTAGATTATCCTCTTACACTTGGTCGCACTCATATTAACGAATATTTCGTTCTAGATGGTTTCTTTGATGCCGGTATGCTCTTGCAGGCTCTCAAGGCGCGTGGCGAGCACATTGATGATGGAGAGACGAAGCCCTCGGAAAGAGCTGCCGTCCAGGCGAGACGGAGGGTCGACGTTGGCAAGAAGCTGAGGCTGATTGACTACTAAGAGGGGGAAGAAGGATAGGTGTTTCACCTGCCCGAGGCAGCCCGCATCAGGAACCTGGATATGGGGATGTGTGATGTGCAAGCCCCGAGTATGGGGATTAACGTGACAAACGGCCTTGGCTAGGGTGGGAGGGCAAGGCTGTGTGTGGTATGGAATAAGGGCAATCTGATATACATTTCCATATTTTGGCATTTCGGTAGCGTTGTCATTTAAAGGCTCATGATCTCATTCACTTTGTTTTGATTAAACCATGATAATGGTGAAACATAAACCGTCATAGAGACTTGATAGATGTGTATTTTGGTATATTCGAAGCAAACAAAGTCATTATCCAAGCGCATTACTATGAGTGTTTGGTTCGTCTCTCTACTCGGTATCTCTTCCAATTACCCTCCTCCTCTCTTGATGCCCTTTCCATGCCACTCTCCACTCCCCACTCCCCTTGCCCATTTTCCCGTTTCTCTCGCGGCGTCTCACAGCGGATTCAGGGAGGGGGTAAAAGATGAAAGAAGCTGGCCCCTTTATATATACTTTGCAACCCTAAAAAAAAAACGAAGCTAAAAAGAAAAAAAAAACAAGTGTGAGAGAGATGAGGCAGAAAATGGCTCTCTAATGCAGTTCGTGAATCTGGCCGCGGTGATGGTCGGCCGCGTCGCCACCGGCCTCGTGGACGTGGGCCTGGTTCGGAGCATACGGCTGGGGCTGGCCGGGAACGCCCTGCTGCGGGTAAGGAGAAAAGGCGGCGCCGCTTGTCGTGGAGAGGGTGGGACTATTGACGAGGGTGCTGGCGCGGGGATCGCCGTGGTGGGGGCTGATACTGCTCATCCTGTCCGGACCGACGGGGAGGCGGCCTGGGCGCCGGCGGGGACGAAGTAGGCGCCCTTGGAAGGGTCCCAGGCACCGGGAGAAGGGGTGGTGTTGGGGAACTGGGGCTGGCCGGGGAGCGGGGCGTAGACCATCTGGGGCTGCATGGGCTGGGAGGGATAGTGAGGTTGTTGCGGCGGCGGCGGCGGCGCTTGTTGGTGTTGCGGAGGAACGGGGCAGGGCCTCCGGCGGCAGCGGGGGCGACTGAGGTGGAGGCGGCGTTGTTGTTATTGCGCCTACGGATGAGGAAGAAGGCGGCGAGACCGAGGAGGGCGAGGCCGGCCAGGCCGCCGACGACGCCGCCGGCGATGGCGCCGGCGTTGACTTTTTCTTGGGTTGCTCGGGGGTCGGGTTATTGGGGCCGATGCCGCCGCCGCCGGCGCCGTTGGTGGGTTCGGGGTCCTCGTCGTCGTCGGTCTTGGTGGCGGAGTTGGCGTTGGGGATGGTGGAGGACTCGATGTTGAGGGAGGTGGTGAGGGGAGGGGTTCGAAGGAGCGGCCGGTCTGGCCGAGAAAGGTGGTGAAGAGGGTCTGGGCGGAGGAGAGGTCGAGGTCGTTGCACCAGTAGTCGAAGATGCTGGTGGCGAAGGAGGCGGTGTTGCAAAAGGGGCGGGCGGAATCGGTGCATTTCAGGGTGAAGGCGTCGACCATGCAGCCGTTGTCGCACTGTTTAGAGTTGACGACCTGGTTGTAGTCCATGCAGGTGAGGCGGAGGTTGCAGGCGTCGGTGTTGCAGCAGGCGACGGCGCCGGTGAGGGTGGTGCGGGCGGTGAAGAGGACGCAGTTGTTGCCGGCGGGGCAGTAGAAGGAGGCGCCGGGGCGGCCGTCGACGTAGCCGCAGATGTTGTCGGGGCCGACGAGGGCGGTGGTGATTTCTTCGTCGCCGTCGGCGCGGGGCCGAGGAGTTGGTAATGGGGTGGCGCGTTGGGGGCGGGGGTGGGCCAGGGGTGGTGTGGTCGAGGGGGTAGTTGAAGGGGCCGGTTTCGCGGGCGATGGCTTCGGGGCGGATGCGGAGGGCTGTGATGGTGGGGGCGAGGGCCGCGGCGAAGGCGGCGGCGCGGAGGGCGACCATGTTTAAACTTGGGTCTGGGGGCAACGTTTCCAGTAAGTGGATGGGAGGTGAGGAAAAGGGCTCCCGCTTTCCGGGGCTTGCGTGTAAGCTGTCTGCGCTGTATGCCGGAGGTTGGATGGGGAGCTTTTCGGGGCTATCGGTGTTGCTGGCTTCCTGGCCCGGCTGTAAGCCCGGCTGGAGGATACTACGGGAGTAGCTCGTAGGTGTTTGTTTGCGCGCGTGCGTGTAGGTTGTGAGAAGAATGCTAGGATTGTGAAAATCCGGGTTGTTGTCGACCGCAGATTTCCTCCCCGGCTTCGTTTTTGTTATCTGAGTTTCCCTTGCTTGCTCCTCCACTCCTGGTTCCGAGAGTTGGTCCCGTTGAACGAGGGTACGGGCCGCCGAAGAGAGGAAATCAAGTTCGGCGGGTATACGTTGGTGGATGAAGAACCAAGCGGACTGGGGGAAACCGCCGCGCAAGAGTTCAAGATCCCAGGGTATAGGTGGTTTACAAACAAAAAAACTAGTCTCGGCGAAAGGGAGGGGGCCAAGCTCGCGCAGCAGCGGAATTGGGGGTGGGAGGGTTTTATTATTCTAGACTTGTAAAGAAGTAGCAGAGCAAATAGCGCACATGGCACGCTCTCACCCTTCCCCTTGCCCTTCCCTTCACGGGTGTGGTCTGTCCAGTCTAGTGTACATGCACCAGGGCGACGTGCGCCATCGCAATCGGGACTAGACCGAGGCCCTCGACGGGCTCGAAAAGGGTGGCAAGGCCAGGCCAAACGGCGAGAACGGGGCCAAGGGCGGGTCAAATAACCCGAGCCTGGTCGTTTCAATATTACCATCTACGTACACTCTGTGTACAATGGTCGAGGGGAGAAGCGAAGACAAGACGCACACTGAGGAAGTAGTGTGCATGTCCTGCTTCTCACTCGCTTTTCCTGCTTCTCTTACACGTTCTCGCCATTCCTGTATCTCTACTCTAACACATTTGCTGCTGGATTCTCTCTACAACTCAAGGCATTGAAGCATTCCATCGAAACAAAAGAGTTCTTTGGTAGCTCGATGACGAAGGGGCCAAGTCGCCAAGCCCGCATGGAACGGGGAAAGACGACGAGGCCAAGAATTAGCGAGGTCGAGAGGAACTCTACATTAGAGGGGCAGCGTGCGTGCGTGCAACTCGACTCACTTTCCCCTTCCCTTTTTTCGCCTGTGTGTCGGGATTGCACTCCCGTTCAGCATTTTGGGGGTTGGCAGGGAGCCCCGGGAGAGAGCCAATCACCATGACCTTCGTTGATGTGGCTTGCAGGAGCTGACCAGGGTGGCCTAGCGTCGTTAATCCCTGCGCGAAAAAGCATTGAGATGGAGAAAGGGAAAAAAGGTGGGAAGGGAAATGGGAAAATGGACGAAGAAGAAAAAGGCGCGGCTCGAGCAGGGCCGGGATCGGGTGGAAGAGAAGGAAGTGAAGAAGGTGAGGGTAAGATAGAGATATCAAGACGTCAACGGTGAGAACGGAAAAATATGAGGAAGATGGTCTTGCGATGGGAACCACTCATCCTTTGTCCTAACACGACACAACAGCACCTCGAGGTGCAAAGAATTCCGCCACCACGCAGGGGAGAGTCAATCCAATATTTCTCGGTGGTTGTCGCGCTGGCGGGTGAAGGGGTGCCGTGGATCGGGGCAAGGAAACTTGAAGCGCGGGGGAGGAGGGGGGCAAGGGATTATCCACAGGGCTGGAAAGGAAATCATTGATACATTTGGGTTCTCAGTCAGCGAATCCGCGATGTCTGCTTCACCCTCGTGTCCACTCTCCCTCGTGTACCCCCTCGTGTTTGGGCAAAAACAACGGTCAGAGGTCTGTGTCTATTTTCGACTTTGACCACCGAGACCAGAAGAATCCGAGGCATACCATGACCAGACCGCTCTCTTCCTATATGGATGTTACCCCAGGCCATTGGAGCAATCCCCATCCCAAGCTACTCTAGTGCAATGGAGCAGCAGCAGCATCGTCTCTTCCATCCTTTGTGCAGCCAAAGTCACAAGGGTTGCACAGCCTGGTCTGCCGGCCTAATTCAGCCCAGCGGGGATGGAGACAGAGAGGGCCAGTAGAGGTGAGACACAAGCGGTGGAACCTAAATTCCAAAGGATGCCAATCTTCAATCGGGGGACCGACCTGACGGATTGGGAGCAAGAAACGAGAGCCTCGATTTGAGCCGAAACAAAACATTAGAAATGTCTTGGTGCCACGGATAGGCTGAACAAGGGGAAAGGGAAAACGAAAGCAAATCTCAAAGGGGGCAAACGTTGGCCCGACCTGACATCAGGCTTCCGCCTCTGATGGAGCTTGGTCCAATGAAGGTTGGGGCTGGAAGAGAGAGCGGGGGAGGCCATTCCCCGAGAGGTGAGGGCGATAATAATACATTCGAGGGGACAGAACATGGGCAGTGGGTGCCTCAAGTGCCTGTAACTGACTAGTGTCGTGGGAAAAGCTTGGTCAATCATTGGCACTCGAGCACTCAAGTCGAGGAGTCATGTACTTCGGAGTTAGCAAACGGTGTTTTCTTTTCTACTGCTCTTTGACCTCGTGCTGTTATAAAGAGCAGCGATATCGACACGACACACGACAGGCTTGGTGAGCTTAAAAAGAAACATAAGTAATAGAGCAATGGATAATATATGGTACACAGGTTAAGGTTGCCCCAACCTCCACCCTCGCCCTGGTGACCGCATCCGTCGAAGCGAGAAAAGGAAGACGGGAAATGCAGGGCCCCCACAAGCGACGAAAGAAGCCCAGATCAACTGATCTCGAGGAAACCCTCCGCTTCCGCTTTTCGCAGATCAATCCTTCCGTCTGAACCGCGTTCCTGGGGCGCAAGAGGGCTGCACCGAGTGCGACAAGTGTGACAAATGCGAGTGTGGGTGTGGCCAAGGTCAAGTTCAGTGAGTCCTCAGCTCCCGAGTCATTTCTCCGGGTCATGTGATTGGAGCTGGGGGTCTTGATTGATTCCAGGCGATGCTCGATGTAACTTGAGTTGTCAACGTTGCAGTCGATTCCAATATTGCCCTCTCAGCCCCCTGATCGATACTCTCGCAGGGCAGGCAAGGCAAGCAGGCAGACAGGCAGACAGGCAGACACACATGATGCGCTGCGGGTACCAGAGGAGAGCAGACGCACTCCACTAGCGATGAGAATGGTGTTGCTGTTATCCATCTTAGATGGTGTTGCTCAGGGCCATAAATAGAGGATGGAGTCTAGTCAGCCCTCAACTGTTAGATCCTCCCCGTTTCAGCATGTGCGCCATGGAAGCGAGCTAGTGTCCGCGATAGCTTGAACGCTTGTGCAAGAAGAACCGCCTCTTATCATTGAAGAAGCCGACCCGCCGGTTTTCCACTTTGGACAGATCCATTGGTAATCTTCTCCGATGGTCCCGGGTTGAAGATTGAACAAGAGAGAGAGGTTGTATACCTCGGTATTCACAAGTTGGATGGAAATGGCACCACGAAATCTCGGGGAAAGTCCGTCATCGTATACTCAGCCCAACTCCTTAATTTAATCAGGGAATGCCGGCGATCAATGGCTCCTGTTGTGCTACTTCAGTATTGGTTGCCCCTATAGTCAAACGCCACAGGCACGTCCCGAACTTGGAACATTACCCACCAACACAAGATTTGGTGACCCTGCAAGTCATTGTGTTCAAGCACACCCAAACCCCTTAGCTTGTCACTCGGCCTCCGTCTGTGGAAGACGATTTGGAAAGAAGCTCCTTTTTGCCCCAACGCCTTTCGGGATGTTCCAGCCATCGTAGCGCTAAATTCTCTTGGCAGTGACAGACTCGAGTTGAGTGCCGGTCCCAGTGAAGAAACTTGTGCAGCAAGCCATGTGCGTTATTATCAATCGCACTACCTCAGTATACTGCTTACATCCATCCATCAATTGATATACCCACCAAAAGTTTTGTCCTTTTCGAGGCTCCTGGAACCAACTACTAACACCTGAAGCTTTATACTTTGATAGAGAGGGTTCTGCTCAGTAGAGATTTATATCTTGGTTGGACCAAGACACATAGGCGGAGCTTATGGTCCGCAGGGGCACGGCACCTTCTGTCTCCAGCTTCCCCTCGAAAAAGAGGGAAAAGTAACTCGCCAGTGATGGCTCTTTATTCCAGGAAAGAAACAGCTTTCGATTCTCCTCTCCATCTAGATATTGACCTAGAAAAGAACGTCAGGGTGATGGATGCGTAACGCAAAGCTTTGATGGTTGACTTGACAGCAGAGTGGGTGTGTGTGTGCTTATACCGGGGCTGCCATGTGGGCTCAAAGACACCCCACCAATAAACGCCTAGACGCATGGCTGACTCAATTCGAACCTCACCTCAACTCAAATTCACGACTGGGCCTTGGCGCCGACTGGGTTCACGCGTTCGCCCGTGCAACACCCACGGCTTCTTTGGGGACAAGAGCTGAAGGACATCGAAGGAAAACAAAAAAGGACGAATTTTAGAGGGAAAAAAAGGAAAGAGGCGAAATCCGCGGTGGCGTACTTCTACCTTGCGCCCTGCATTTGGCGGAACTCACTGTTTTATTCTGTTTAAGAACGAGAGCACCTCTGGAAAACTCACGCCCACACGCACGCACTCACAAGAGGGAGGACACCGAGCAAAAGGGGAGCGCGCGAAACCCGGGGGCTCCAGAAATGGCAGGCGCAACATGACGGACCTCCTCCATCTGCTACCAGACTTCCCCGCCGGCCAATTCGCCCGCCTGCTCCACGTCCTCGACACCCACGGCGTCACCACCACCGACTTGCTCACCCTCAACGCCGCCGACCTCGGTACCCGGACCAAGCTGCCCCTCCTTGACCTGAAGCGCCTGTCTGCGGCCGTGCTCGACGCGCTGCATAGGGATCTGTCCGTCCTGCCGAGCCGGACGGGGCGCTCCGGTGGAGAGGAGGACGCCTCACCCCGCCGCCGACGCTTGTGCCTTCTTCCACCGCAACACATGGGACGCGGGCAGAGAACAAGAAGAAGAAAAAGAAAAAGAAGCCGTCGCTGAAACAAACACTACCCGAGCTGCGCGCCGAGTGGTCGGCCATCAGCACCCTCGACGACACGCTCGACGCCGCGCTGGGCGGCGGCATCCCCGCCGGCTACGTCACCGAGATCACGGGCGAGAGCGGCGCCGGCAAGACCCAGTTCCTCCTCTCTCTCCTGCTAGCCGTCCAGCTACCGCCCCCGCGGGTCTCGGCCGCTCCGCGCTGTACATCTCCACCGAATCCCCCTGTCGACGCGCCGCCTGGCCCAGATGCTCGCGGCTAACCCGCTCCTCGCCGCCGTGGACGCGGACGACCGCCCGACGCTGGACAACATCCTCAGCACGGTGACGGCGGACTTGGAGTCGCAGGACCATATCTTGCAGTTTCAGGTCCCCGTCGAGGTGGAGCGGCGGGGTGTCGGGCTCGTCGTGCTCGATTCCGTGGCTGCCAATTACCGCGCCGAGTTTGAGCGCCGGCGGCGGCGGCGGCGCGTCGTCGTCGTCGTCGTCGCGTGGCTTCAATATGGGTGCGAGGGGAATGAGCTTGTGCGCTTGGGCGCGCATCTACGGGAGCTGGCGCGCAAGTATAATCTTGCCATTGTCGTAGCGAATCAGGTCGCTGACCGTTTCTCGCCGCCGCCGGCTCTGCCTTTACTGTTTTCCTCTGCGACACCCGCGGGCCCGCCTAGCAGTAGCGCTTTCGGCGGCTTAACGCAGGAGAGCCCCTCGCGTCGCGCACGAGGCGCGTAACCTTTACCACCACCCAAGAAGACGAAGAAGACGAGGCCGCCGCCGCTGATGCGCAATACATCCCCCTCCGCCGACGCCATCCCAGCCCCGGCCCCGCCGGCCCTCCTGCTCGACCACCAGCAGCGGTGGTTCACGGGCTGGGGCGACGACCCGTACGCCGACTACGTGCTCAAGACGCCGAGCCTCGGGCTCGTGTGGTCGACGCAGATTGCGTGCCGCATCGCGCTGTTCCGGAAACCCGTCTACGGCGTGGGCCCAGCGGGCGAGGGGGAGGAGGAGGACGGCGAGAGGTTTTTGCCGACGCAGACGGGGTGGAAGAGGTGGATGAAGGTTGTGTTTGCGCCGCATGCGCCGGCGTCGGGGCAAGGGTTGGATGGGGCGGTGCGGTATGAGGTGAATATGGGGGTTGAAGGGGTTGGAGGACGCGCCGGAGGGGATGGCGAGGATGTGCATGCGTGAGACCTGTCTATTTTTTTCTTTTGGGTTATGACACGATGAATGATGAATGGGACCTATGGAGGAGAAACTCAAAGCCTTTTTTTTTTCTCTGTCTTGTTTACTGTTTACGTTTTCTTGTTCATTCTTGGGAGCATGGGGCAGTGTCATACGAGGCGTGGGTTTGGCATATTCACAGCTTGGCGCTCCTCGTTATCATTTCGAAAATCAAAAACACCAAAAATTCAAGAAATCAATTATCATATTGACAACAACATTTTGTCACATCACCTCGTTGATTCTTTCAAATTGACACTTGCCTGCCCTTGGATAGTGCCACGCCAAGACCGGCCGGCCGATGTGGTGGGAGAGGGATTCTGCCTTGTCGTCCGGGAGCCAATACTAACACTCTACCCGTTCTGCCTTGTCACCAAAAACAAACGTGAGCCAACGTGCAGATAATCAACATGCCGACACCCTCACCTTTGCCCGCCCTTTTTCATGCCTGTCAAACACTTGATTCGCTCAGAGCGCACCAAGGTTTCCCCTCTCCCCCGGTTGTCGTGCGAACAGAGACTGGATCCCAGGGGGCCATGGGAAAAAATGGCCGACATACGCTAGAAATTTCACACGAGGATGCCTCGCGAATCTGCCATCCCGAGCGTGCGGGGGCGAAATGCTATTAGGCCCAGAGATGCATGAAGAACGGGCCCAATAACCGTGATGTGATGGAGAAACAGTGAGAGGGTAGGCAACCGCTCAGGTGCGTCCAGGTCAAACAACGGGTCACCGACCAATACCTGGACGTTCTCCTAGCTAGGGGAGGGATTTCGTCGGGGCCCTGATTTGTCCCTCTCTGGTCGAAACTATCAAACATGCTTCCTTCTTGGCGTGCGTTCTCTCCTCTGTTCTCGTGCAGCCATCTTGAGCTTGTTTCCACGACGACGAGGCCGCCTTGAGGCACACGTAGAAGCCGAGGACGGAAAGGATTTCACGGACCCGAGCTTTCGTATCGAACCATCGGTTGTCATCCGTCTCGGAGAATATCGAGAGATGTATCTTGTGTATCTTTTGGCGTTGAGGAGGTCCATCCGTAAACAAAGCTCGTGTGTATAAAAACCCCTCGTCCCTCAGGACAGCGGAACAGGGGGATGAATGGTTCAGCCAACATCTCTCACATACCTCACACGGGATACACTAGCGAAGAAAGGAAGCAGCAGGCAAAGGGCATGATTCAAACCCTCTCCTGAACTCTGTTTCCAAGTCCTCTCTTTTCCATTCTTCTCACACAATCATCACCATCACCAAATGTCGTCCCCCTCCCACTTTTCCGCCGTCCCGACGACGGACCCCGAGGTCCAGGACACGGCATCCACAACCAGAGCCTCCCGCAGATCGATACACCGCGCGTACGCAATGCAACCGTGGTCCAAGTGGTCCGTCTTCACCTTTCTCGCCATCCCCACGGGCCTCAACATCGCCCTGCTCGTCGCGCAGGCCAAGGACGCGGCCGTCCGAGGCAACTCGGACACCTTTACTTTATTGAGGACAACCAGGTGGCCGTGCAGGTGCTCATCTACATCATGTCGGCGCTGCTGGGCGCCATCCACGTCTGGGCCGTCACGGCTTTGATCCGCCGCCGGGCGAGCCTGGCCCTGTTTAGCGGCAAGCCCTTGACGGCCGCTGCCCTCCGCCACCGCACCTACCTCGCGATCCCTCGGGTCCCGCGCGACATTCGTACCTGGTACTTTATCCCTATTCTCCTCGTGTCCCTGCTCGGCTTCGTCTCTTCGGCGCTGTGGGTGGGCTCCTGACGCCGGCCCCCGATTACGCCCACCTCAAGGAGACTGCCGTGCTTATCCCCTCGTTCCGAGACCTCTCCCGCGTCAAGGAATATCCGGCCGGGTCTGACTCGGCCGGCCTAGAGCTGTTCACTTCCGAAGGGTACTTTTCGTACCTCGTGGGCACGAGGCACCGTGCCCGCATCGCCGACATCGCCGCCTCCGCCACGTCCCCCGCCGGTTCCGTCCGCGCCTTGCCCCGTCTCGACGATACCCCATACCGAGTCCTAGGGCGCTCGTACGGCATAGCTTCGTCCGTCGGCATCGGGGCCCAGGACTTATCCTCGCTTTCCGTCCTTTCCTACCGATTCACCGAGATGGGCTACGAAACTACCGTCAACTGCACCTACAACCAGACGTCTGACTTTACCATCACCGCGGATAGGGGATCATCCCAGGGCATCATTACCATCGGGGGTTTCCTCCCGGACAGCACGAGCGGGAAACCCAACCAGGCCGAACACTTTGCGCCCGACTCCAAGAATACCGTGGCCCTTGGCGTCGCGCACGACGAGGACTCTCCGCGAACGTACCTGGCCATCGCGGCGGGCGACAACTACGAGGACCTCGACAAGATCCAGTGCCAAGTCCACTTCAAGTTTGGCATGTTCCAAGTGTCCGTCAACGAAGAGGCGCACCAGATTAGCGTCACCTTCCTCGGCGACATGAACGGCGCCGACCCGGACAACACCGTTCCGCGGACCGCCATGCGGCAGCTCGAAATCGTGTCCAGCGGCCTAGCGGCGGGCGGCGCCGCGCAGTCCGCGCTCGGCGAGGTCTTTCGCGCCAACGTCGCGGCGCTCAACATGATGCTCGCCGCCAGCGAGAGCGTGGGCCTGGACCGCGCCGCCGAGGAAGCCGCCCTCCGCATCGACGGCGAAGACGACATCCGCCTGCGCGGCGTCGAGAACGCGCTGACGGCCATGCTGGACGCCATCTTGTCGGGCTACGGCGCCGCCCAGGTCATGGTCGGCAAGGTGTCGGAGCTGTCGACGGCGGAGCTGACGCGGCGCACGTTTGTGCTCGGCAAGCTGGGCTACGTCGTCGCCGCCTGCGTCCTCAACGGGCTCATCGTCCTCGCTGTTGCGGTGGAGGCCGTTGCGACGAGGAACTGGAGGGGTCTGCCTGCCCTCGACTTTACGGACCCGGCTTGGCTCGTGGGCGCGGCGCTCCGGGGCGCGACGGGCGGGACGGGTGGGGAGGGGGTATCCTGCGCGGAGACGCTGGTAGCCTCAAGGGTCGTGCTGGGTCGTTGAAGAGCCGAGGATTTGGGGTTCTGCGTGCTGGTGGTGGGGAGGAGGAGGATGCGGTGTTGGAGGTGGTTCCTGCGGCGGGGCAGGATGGGCGGTTTGCGATTGTGGCGCGGAAGGAATGATGGGGGAGGCACGAGAAGTACGAGTTTTACGATAAAGAGAAATGTAGGGAAATTTGGGTTAATTGTATGGATGCTATCAAAAGGGATCTATATTCCCTTAGCACTTTTGTGAGGCAACATTGTGTATGTATGGGATGTAAGTCAAGGAATCGGAATCCGTTAGGAAATGCTTCAAATGTGATTATCTCATTGGCGAATGCTCTTGCTCCCACCACGATTTATGGACGTCACCGCCTGCCTAATATTACGGCGCTGGGGATTTTTCAAATAGCGGGGGCGGCAGAATCCATGATTTTTGCGTGTGTCCCACCTTCCCTCACCCCAAATCCCGAGAGCTGTGTCATAATCCCAAAATTTCCCCAAACCCGAGCCACTTCTCACGACGGTCTCGCCCTTCGCCTTTTGCTTGCCTCCCTGCTCTACGGACAAGCGCCGGTTCCGGAAATCGCGCAATAATAATTCAACCAAGGATAGAAAATAAGCATGCATGAGCACCGAACCACGACGTTATGAAAGTGATTGACGACGGGTTCGAGGCTCTCCTCGAGCCGTTCTACAACGGCAAGAGCCTCACCGATCCCATCTCTACCAAGGAGGACAAGTTTCAGCTGCTCCCCGCCTTCCTCAAGGTCAAGGGTTTGGTCAAGCAGCATATTGATTCGTACAACTTCTTTGTCGAGCAGGGGATTAAGGATATTGTGCGCGCCAACTCGAGGATCAAGAGCGATGTGGAAAGCAGGTTTCTTCTAGAGTACGTTTTTACCCGTTTGGAAAGAAAAAGCCGAAAAGGGTCCCCTATATCCTTTTGCGCGCCCCTTCATTCTATGTGACCAATCTAACATTCCTCGGTTGCGCAGGTTCACAGACATCCGAGTCCTGACCCCGAAGCGAGTCGACTTTGTCGATTACCGATGCGACAATGAAATCACCCCATGGAGTGTCGTCTCCGCGACATGACCTACGCCGCGCCCATGGTTGTCGACATTGCCTACATCCGCGACAAGACCCGCGTCATCAAGAAGGATGTGCCGCTCGGCCGCATGCCCATCATGCTCAAGAGCTCCAAGTGCCGCCTCGCCGGCGCCAACAACGCCCAGATGGAGGCCATGAACGAGTGCCCCCTCGACCCCGGCGGCTACTTCATCATCGGCGGCACCGAAAAGGTCATCCTGATTCAGGAGCAGCTGAGCAAGAACCGAGTCATTGTCGAAGTCGACGACAAGAACCACGTGATCCAGGCCTCCGTCACCAGTTCGACCCACGAGCGAAAGTCCAAGACCTATGTCCGCCTTAAGAAGGACCGCATTTACCTCACCCACAACGTCCTGGTAGAGGATGTCCCCATCATCATCGTGCTCAAGGCCCTTAGCGGCTTGCCCGATGCGGACATCGTGAACCTCGTCGCCGGCTCCAACTCCAAGTTGCAGGACGACTTCCTCGTTAACTTTGAGGAGGCTGCCAAGGCAGGCATCATCAGCCAGCAGGATGCCCTCGAATACATTGGCACCAAGGTCAAGATGGGCTCCAGGAGGGGTCAGTTTGGAGGGCAGCCCCGGAGAAACCACGCCGAGGAAGCCCTGGACGTGCTCGCCAACCTGGTGGTCGCCCACGTGCCCATCGACGGCCTCGAGTCCAACACAAAGGCCATCTACCTGGCCCTGATGGCCCGCCGCGTGCTTCTCGCCGCCCGGGACCCGAAACTTGTGGATGACAGGGATTTCGTGGGAAACAAGCGACTCGAACTCGCGGGCCAGATGTTGACGCTGCTCTTCGAGGACTTGTTCAAAAGTTCACGAGCGAGGTCAAGCTCAACATTGATAAGTTCCTCAAGAAGAACAACCAGGCCGTGGCGTTGGACCCGGCGAATATGATTCGCAACCACGCCAACACCATTGGACAGGGCCTCAACAGGGCCATTCAGACGGGCAACTGGACGGTGAAGCGTTTCAACATGAACAGGGTCGGCGTAACCCACGTGCTCAGCCGTCTTAGTTACATCGCCGCCCTCGGCATGATGACTCGTATCAGCAGTCAGTTTGAGAAGACGAGAAAAGTCAGTGGTCCTCGTGCGTTGCAGCCCTCCCAATGGGGTATGCTTTGTACTTCGGACACGCCCGAAGGTGAAGCCTGCGGTCTCGTCAAGAACCTCGCCCTCATGACGCACATCACGACCAACGACGACGAGGAGCCCGTGATCGAGGGCATCTTCATGGACGACGACGTCGACTCCCTCAAGACCATCGGCGGCCAGGACCTTCACGACAAGACCCACGTCATTCACCTTAACGGTACGCCCATCGCCACCACCAAGACTCCCAACACCGTCACCGCGCGGCTGCGGCGGCTGCGGCGCAAGGGCGCCCTCTCCCCGTTCGTGAGCATCCACACAAACTCCCACTACAACGCCGTCCACATCGCCACGGACGAAGGGCGCATCTGCCGGCCCTTCATCATCGTCAGCAAGAAGCAGCAGCGGCTGAAGCCCGAGCACCTCCGCCTGCTGCAGCTCGGCAAGGTCGCCTTTGACGACTTCCTCAAGAACGGCGTGGTTGAGTACCTCGACGTCAACGAGCTCAACGACTCGCTCGTGGCCATTGAAGAATCGGACATCACCAAGGCGCACACGCACATCGAGATCGAGCCCTTCACCATCCTCGGCGCCGTCGCCGGCCTCATCCCCTTCCCTCACCACAACCAGTCTCCCCGAAACACGTATCAGTGCGCTATGGGCAAACAAGCGATTGGCGCCATTGCGTATAACCAGTTCAACAGGATCGACACCCTACTATACACCCTCGTCTACCCCCAGCGGCCCATGGTAATCAGCAAGACGATAGAGTTGATTCATTACGATAAGCTGCCGGCCGGGCAGAACGCCACCGTCGTCGTCATGTCCTACTCGGGCTACGATATCGAGGACGCTCTTGTCCTGAACAAGGCCTCGTGCGACCGCGGATTCGGCCGCTGCCAGGTCTTTCGCAAGTACACGACGGAGTTGCAAAAGTACCCCAACGGCCGCCGCGAACAGTTAGGGCGGCCACCCTCGGATGGCGGGGCCGCCTCCGGGCGCGAGGGCAAGTACAACGCTCTCGACGAGGACGGCCTCGCCACCGTCGGGTACCGCATCAGCGCCGGCGAGACCATGATCATGAAGCGGACGCCCATCGACCTGGCCACGACGGGCATCGGTCTCGATCGGGGCCCGAGCGAGTTCCGCGACTCGTCCATCAACTACAAAATCCCGGACCCGGCCTACATTGACAAGGTTATGCTGTCGCATACGGAAAAGGAGACGACGGTGATCAAAGTCCAGACCCGGCAGACCAGGCGGCCCGAGCTCGGGGACAAGTTCTCGTCCCGCCACGGGCAAAAGGGTGTGGTTGGCATCATCGTCGATCAAGTAGACCTGCCCTTCTCGGACGAGGGGCTCGTGCCCGACATCATCATGAACCCCCACGGTTTCCCCTCGCGTATGACGGTCGGTAAACTGCTCGAGTGCCTCACGGGCAAGGCGTCGGTGCTCGATGGGCGCAAGGACTACGGCTACGGCGACGCGTTCCGATCGCACCCCTCGAGCAGATGAGCCAGGTCCTCATCGACCACGGCTTCTCGTGGGAGGGTAAAGACTACTTCACCTCGGGTATCACGGGCGAGCCCCTCGAGGCCTACGTCTTCAACGGGCCCATCTACTACCAGCGCCTCAAGCACATGGTCCAGGACAAGATGCACTCGCGCGCCCGCGGGCCCCGCGCCATCCTCACCCGCCAGCCCACCGAAGGTCGTTCCCGCGACGGAGGGCTCCGTCTCGGCGAGATGGAGCGCGACTGCCTCATCGCCTACGGCGCCTCGCAGCTCCTCCTCGAGCGTCTGATGATCTCGTCAGACGCCGTCGACATCGATATCTGCGAGCAGTGCGGTCTCTTTGGCTACAAGAGCTACTGCCACACGTGCAAGAGCACCTCCAACGTCACGCAGATGACGATGCCCTACGCCGCCAAGTTGCTGGTGCAGGAGCTCATCAGTATGAATGTCGGTGTGAGGCTTAAGCTCGAGGATGAGTTCCCGCATCCTGTAAAATAAGGGGCGGGACAAGAGAGATGGAGGAGGGGGCGATGAGACGCGTAGGGGCGGTGGTCTTTTTACGACAACAGTGTCAATTTTTCTCTCTACCGAACGTCCTCTTTGGTTTCGTCGTCCTTTTTCTTCTTCTTCGCATCTCGGAGCATGGCTTGGCTTGCTGTAGAACATTTTTGTATGTATTCTTTGGGGAAGGATGTGGTGGAAAGGTTTTTCATCTTTTGATCCTTTTTCACTCCTGTTTTTTTCGCATAGCATAGAGGAATGATGTTTATGATTTAATGGAGTTTTTGGTTTTCTCTTTCTTACATCTTGCTCGTTCGCTATCTACGTACCAAGGACCCAGAAAGCGAGACGGGGAAGGCTCTCTCTTTCTGTATCCGAGCATCTATAAAAAGGCATCCGTGAATACATCGACCCCCGCCTACCCATGTTTTACTTGTTTTTCTTTTTCCAAAAGTCGGCCTCGGCAAACTCGATGAGATCGGATCTAGATCCCCTCAGTCGTAGATTTCTCGACCGGAGAGAGTTGTCTCACACGTGTCATGTCGGAGCAGGCAAGACAGAGCAGCCTTTTTCTTAACCCTTGGTAGACGCACCCCCTTCGACGTCATCGCCGTCGTGTTGTGTTCAACTTAAGAAGAGGGACACGAGGGAAGAACCCTAAAAAAAAAAAAAAAAAAAAGGAAGAAATAACAAAAATGAGAGCTTGGATCGGAATTGGTTGGCTCAGTAAATGGGGGAGAGTTGGGAAACGGACCAGCAATCAAGCAATCGACTATTTACAAGCAATATCATTAGACCGGCACGTGTGACTGACTGAGATTGTGTCTAGATCTCTTGTTCTCCATTGTTCCCTTTTGGCGTCGCCTTCAAGGTTTCAATTTCCAACAACCGATAAATGAGAGCGATGCTTTGCGCTCGCCAGCCATTTGCCTCATCTATCGATTGTACCCCTTCCCCGCCCACACCTTCTCTCCCGGCCCATTGGCTTTATTTATTACTGCTATTATTATCTTTTATTGCTAGGATCAGGGTGCCCCCCTTCCCCCTCGCCTTCTGGCAGCTCTGCTGTCTTGTGAGGTAGCCAGCCGCCTTTGGCGCCGAGATATGGAAAAAGGTTCACGCCACCAATCTCATCTCAGGGTGCCTCTTTTTCTCCCTCGCGTTTCTAAAAGGCTGACTGCCGTTCTAGAATTTTGACACTTGGGGAAAGGGGGAGGGAGAGAATTAGCTCAAAGACGAAAAGCGCGAGTATGAAAAAGGGGCAAGGAGTCGAAAAAAAGTCAATTCGAAGCGGATCTGTTCTCCACCAAATCCAGAGAAAGAAGATGTTTAGAAACCTCCCCTCTTCCATCCCCCCTTTTACCTGGCTGGAGAGGTAAGAACTCTATGAATAATACTCCGGGGCTGCATGAAGAGGACCGAGGACAAGGCAGCAGTTGAATCCGGCCCCTTCCAAACGAGCCCCTAACAGAAGGCCGGATTTTTGTTTGATTAGCGGACAGCCCGCCGAGTCGGGGACTCCGCTGGTTATTCGGGGCTTTTTATTGAAACTGGAGAGGCGAGCTTCCTCGTCCCTGGTACAGTAGTTGAACGGGAACGGGGGCCTTTCGAATCCGGGTAAATGTAATGATCTCACGAGGGGTTGGCTTGGATTTCCCATTCGCGACTCATGTGCCTGGGGTTGTGTGTCCTCGCGGGCGCACGCGTTGAGTAAGTGCTTCAAGGGTCAACCTATCTATCCCTCTCAGAACCCCCTCAAAAAGAAAAAAAGGGAGACGGCGAAAGAGAGGGAGCGAAACACCCCGCATCATGGCTGCCCACAAATGAGCTGCTCCCACGAATCAAGACTTTTGCTATTTCTTGAGACCGACCACCCCAAGCACCCCTCCATTGACCCTGTTCTGTTGAGAGCTTTCGTTGCTCGCCTCACCCCGCTGCGGGTGATGCGAGGGGAAGGGGGTTAGAGAGGGGAAGCAGAGGCAAGACGCGGAAAGCGGTGGGATTTGCCCCGATGTTCGGGGCTACGCTTGATGAGGTGGGCGGGGCGGCGGGGGGCTATTGGAAGCCCTGCAGAAGCGCAAAGCGGGATGGGGTATCGAGAGATAGATCGATTGGAGAGGGTTCTAGAGGGCCAGCCCTTGGTAAAGACTCTTCACTCCTAGCTGGCTGGCCAGGTGCTCGTCCCCGGCTGTCTGAGCGGCGGGATGAGAGCGGCGGTCGTGGGCGTCCAAGTACTTCGCCGTGTCGAGTGTCGATGTTCACGCTTGCCCACCCAGACGGGTGCCACTTGCCACTCATCGGAATTCTAGTTTGCCATTGGATGGTGATGAAAGCGACATTCTTTATTTTACCTCTGGGTAGAAAATTCCTAAATAGCATGACAAGCATAGATCAATGATCCATGCTTGCCATGCATCATCGCCCCTCCTCGACCCAGGACTTTGTGGCCAGACGCTGAGCTCTATCAAAGTGAGTCTTCCGCAAGGGGTTAGGATTGGGCAAAATGGCGAGACCGGAGCCAATCACTTGACCAATGATTCAAAGAAACGGCCTGATTCTTGGCGAATAATGTGCGGGAAAGTAGGAAGGTCGAGGAGCGGGCATCTGATGGACAACGTTTGCGTTGTTCGGCGGGCGGAAGGCAATGGATCCATTGGACGAAATGTTCGAAAAGGAGTGCATCGCCCGGGACGAGCTGGAGAGCGATGCGTTCAGTGGAACACTCGAACAGCTCAGCCGTTGCTAACCCGTATTATCAAATTGGGTCCAAAGCGGTGGCTGGCGTAATATCGCCTCAAAGCTTTTCAGCGGATGGAGATGCCCATCTGGTGGTGCCGTGCCCACCATCTTGTAATTGCTCGGCGGTGGGTGGCCAGCCAGCGCCATGTGGCTCAATCCGAGAACGCTAATTGAATTCTTTCCCACGTCTCAACCTAGCCTCGCCTCGCATGGCACAAGCTGGAGCAAGTCTCCCGGAACTCTAGACTGCTGCGAGTATGAAGTATGAGATATTAGAACGAGCGCATTGGTGCTTCCGCCTTCTGCCTGTCGAGTCTTTTAGTGTAAATGGGTGGGTTCACCAGGAACGACTTTTCTTCAATTCGTCAGAAGATCGATAATAAAACTACGCCCAAAGTTGATGCTAGGACCCTGCACGCTGATAGAAGGGCCAGCCAACAAGTGCATCCAGCGCCGAGCGTCTCTCTGTGCCTTTTCTTTTTCTAATGTTCTTTTTTTTTTTACCCACTATTTCCTTCTTGGTGGGAAGGCCCCTCTTTCAACGATCAGTGTATGGCAAGGCGCATAACCCTTGGGATGTTGATGCAGGTCCTTGACTCTCCCACCGGGGGCACGCAAGTTGACGCACCTCACTGACTGACTTCCCACCAAACCCAGGGGTTTCCCTTGGGGTTGCACATCTCACAAGAGCGATCAGGATTGGGAGCCTTTGCTCCGTAGCCTCTCTCGCTCCTCGTTCATCGGCTTCACCTAGGAGCGGAAGCCGTCGACATGCGAAATTCGCATTTCTAAACAGGGTCCCCACATAGGTACCCTCCGTCTCCGCTTTCGCCTCACTCACCGCCTCCCCAAAGCCCGGTCTTTGAGGCAACGGCGTGGTATTACAACAGCGGCTAGTCTGTGAAGTGCAAGACCAGGTGGGAGCGAGATCCTAGGTGGGGGATGTCAATCTAAACTCAGGCAGGCAGGCCATATCATTACTTGTAGGGGCTCCTCAAGTCATCGAACAAAGACGAAAGGACCCCAGTGTAAAAATAGGATACCAAATGGGTATTTCAAACGGCCAAATTGTCGTTTGAGCAGTATGAGGCTGGTCCCTTCTGCCTCTCCGTGTCACTAGCCTCGAGCATTTTTGATGCCTACTGAGCAAGTCAAAGGGGACTCAGAAGTGGGACGGCGTTCTGTCTTCGTCTTTTGGCCTGTCTGAGCATTGGATCCATCAATTGACTTTTCTTCTTCTTTTTCTGGGTTTCTCCGGGCCCCTGTGAAGAGAGGGGCGTCGCCACGTTCTGGCATGAAATTCTCCACGTCGCTAGCTCCTGTTCGCCGCCACATGCTTTGTGCTTCATTCGTGGCCTTGCGACGAGCCGAAGGGGTGATACGGCGGTGAGCAGAGGGAAGCGCCAACGCTTTCTAAACATGGCAAATGGAGAAGGAACAGTTTTCCTCTAATAGAAAAGAAAAAAACCAAAGAAAGAAAGCCCTGTGGTTCAGAGGATATCCGTGGAAGCCTTGACCCTTGCTTTTGTCGCAACCTTGTGAGACCTGTGAGTTATCAGTGGGGAAGTCCTCTCATCCATTCAATTTTGGCAACAGGGATGTAATGGGTTCGTTCTTTGACCCGCTGCGCCCACCGCCCCAAATAAGCTTGCCATCGACTTCGTACTTGTATGTAGATTGGGTTTCGACGGATTGATCCCTTGACGCAACGGTGCAAACTTGACAGATAACTTTGGACGAAGAATGGACTGCTCCCCTCCCCTGAGGAAGGATGGATAGATTGGGCACGCATCCAAAACGGGCAATTCTAAGAGAAGCCAGCAAAGTGCGCTGGAACTGAAGCAAGCCATATCATGTCCTGAAAATCAAGGTACTAACCAAGGATCGCCGCTCCCATAAACACGGAGTTTTTGTAGATCAGAAAGGTTCGAGAGAACAAAATGGAATTCCATTTTGTTTCATCTCGTGGGTTAATTTTCTATCAAACGTCGTTCGTCCGTCCTTGTCATCCCAGCGCTAATAAGAGTTTCAATGCCCTGAACTGTCTCGATCTTGGGTGGTTTCGCCGCCGAGTGTGGGGGATGACGGAGGAAGTTTGGGCATGGGCCAGCTATTGAAACATCAGCCTGTCGAATCCGCATGCTCGGGCCGGCCTCGAATTTGGTGAGTTGGAACCCCTGAACCATTCAAATCTGAAGGTTGGCTTGGCTGGGTTGGGCTGACTGGCCTTCAATGGACGGATCAACGAAGTGAAGTGGGTGTACAAAGTATTTACGATTGATTGTGTCTGCCTGCCTCAGAGGGCAAGAGCAAGAGCCACCACTTGATCTTTCACACTGTTCAATGTCCCACCCAAGTCCGACTTGATCCATCCCGCACAGAAAGCACAGGGCAGTCCATGTGCGAGATACCGTCGCAGCGCACTTTCCTTCAAGGGCCTGGTTCCCCGCCCCCTGCTGACCCCTCCCACTTTTCCTTTCTTCCTTTATTTTTTTCTTCTCTCCGTGACAAAGCAAGGGAAGGGCGGGCCTCTTTTGGTGGGGAAGGTGCGTGGGCACGGAAACAAGATGGGAAGTGATGATTGAGGCTCCGCCGTATACCCAGTATTCTTAGATGACCCATCACACCGTACTGTGTACTGTACCTGGGATCAAGCATCGGGAGTGGAAACACGATGAATTCAGGCATTGAGGTGTCCACCACCAAAAGTCCCCGTGACTTTGGGTACACGTCGGCAAGAGTGTTCAAAGGGGAAGAGAGGTGTGATTGAGCTTTGGGAGCCCAAGCCTCCAGGTGCTTAGTCGTGTCCCGATAGCTTTTGACCTTAAGCCAAGCTAGGGCTAGTCGAGAGAGACTGATTTTCGAATCGCAAAGACGGGTAGGGTAGCCTCGACGTAGCGCTCGGCGTCCTCGTAGCACTTGCGATGGAATTGTGTGCCGCTTTCCCTTGCGGAAAAGAACACCGTGCCACTAGGGACTAGGGAATCAAGTACTCGAAAGAAGAGACCAGGAGGCCAGCCATGTTTGCCGTGAACGGCGTACCTCAAATAGATCGCTCCTGCTGCTCCCGCACGGCGGAGAGGGAAGGGGGTGGGCCTGCAACTCCCGGGGCAGACTTGCACTGTCGGGATGAAAGTATTGAGCGCTGGCTGAGTAGCACTTTCTTTATCGCCAGTGATATCCTCTCGTCGGCTTTTAGAAAGACGACGGCCGTGGACCTTGACCAAGCATTGTCCGATGGGAGAATGGGGGTCCTTGATCTCCTAGCGGAGTGGAGGCGTCGTTGGTGTGTGCACAACAGCGACTAGCTCGAGCTGTGGTGACTTCTGGAATTCTCCTGTCACAGCACAGGAACAAACCCGCAATCTCCTCTTTCACTCGGGGGCTTATTGTCTGAGAAAAGGGCGGCGCTTAAGGGATCCTGCAGCTTTTCTCCTGCCCATGAATCGGAAGCCTACCTCTGTTCAAACCCAGCCAAGGCGTCTCTGCCCCGAAGATCCATGATTGACCTTTTCAAGAGCCCACCACGGTCTCTTACGGGCAGAATGCCTTTGATACAGCTCCAGCTATTTTAGCTCTTCCCTCGGGTGGAACAGCCAGTGCCTAAGGGATCTTTGACCTGTTCGATGTTCAATGTTTTTTTCTTGTTACCCATTATTTTTCTCTCCCTTTCCGGCCTTTTCCCTCTTCTTTTGTGCCCGTTATTTTTTTCTTTCTTTCTTCTCTTTTCCCGTTGTTCTTCGTCCCTTCTGACGATCTCTGCGAGAACGGGTACCTCAGACCCACGCGGATTTTCTTGTGGCTGGTCTCAAGAAACCGTGGTACTACACCATCCGTGCCATTAGCAGAGAGCACTGGCATCCACAAGAAGTACCGCCCACCCTCGGAGTAACTCCCATCCAGCTTGACGTAGCCGGTACAAGTCAGTCTGAGATGAGCAGGTGGTAATTCGGCGCGAAGTGGGTTGGGTTGATCCCGTACACAGTACGCGCTTCTCTCCAAACCCTCTGCCAACAGTTTGACGAAGTTGGTTAATATGAGCGGTGCCATATGCAGTAGAAAGAACATTGAAGGGGATGACAGAGGCCCCTCTCCGCTGCAGAGGCTGTTCCTGCTCATTGCTGAGTGAGCGGCCTCAAAGCTTGTACTCCCCCAGCTCGCACTCGGTAGGGAAAGCCATCGAAGCATGGGGGTTTTTGATCAATTTTTTGGGGCCTCGCCAGGCCCTCAGAGCGGGTGAAGGACCCTGCCGGTTTTAAACGATGTGCGCTTGACTAGTCGCAGCGCCAGAGGCCAGTGCTGGGGACAGGCACAGGGAACAGGACGGAACACGCACAGCAACCTAGAACTATGACAATGCAATCGCGGTCAATTTGGGGTGATGAACGCAGGACGAAACAAAAACTCCGATCTATCAACCACCCACGCCAGCGCTTGCGAATCCTCTCCTCCCTTCACCTCTTTTCTTCCACCTTGGATTCCTCTTCACCTCTCCCTCAATTCTCCCTTTCGCCCTCAGACTCCTTTTCTGGAGCTTCGCCTACATCTTCTGCGAAGCTTCGTATCTCTCTACCCTCTCCCCGCCCGTTGTATTTTGTTGTGTGTGCTGCCGCGTGCCATCATTTTCCTCCACGTCTTTTTTTTCTGCCGCCTTCCCCTTGCCAACCGAGTCTGTCCGCCTTTTCCGCTTGGGCTCCCCAAAGTGTAGCGAACGACGTGTGAAATTATACCATCGACAGCGTTTTCTCAATCCGCCTTCAATTTGAGTTGTATGTTGAGATAGGAAGGGCAATACAGCTTTACAGACAGTGTGAGTCCTCCCCCTCCTTCGACTTGTCTTTCTTTCTCTTGGTTCAGCCCTGGTCCTCGCTGGCATTACATGTCGCCTTGACACACGCTCGCGCTCCTGTCCGGCAAGTGTGGAGGGAGGCGGTATGCCTGTCGCATTTGCTTCAGTCCATTCAATCCTATCCCAAAATCCCCGCCCCCTCATATTGCCCCCATCCCACTGCCCCAGCTGCTACCCCTGGCCGGGTCCAAGTGTTGCCCAACATTCTGCGGCCCTGCCTGCACTCTGGGGCTTTATTCTTTTTTCTTTTCTTTTTATTATTTTTATCTGCACCTCCTCTCCATTCCCGCTTTTGGCCCATTGCCTCCTCCTGCCCTGAGCACCACAAACCCTGGTCTGCGCCACACGAGGATATTCAACGTTGCTTGAGGGGTGAAGGACAGCTCGGTGTGCCTCGCCAAACCCCCAAAGAGGAGTGCCGCAGCACGACCGCAACTCGTCCCCTCTTTTTCCAACGCACACTCTGTGGCCGATATCTTGCCCTCAAAAATTATTCCTACGAGGTTTCCGGCTTGGCCTGCTCCTCTTCGCCATTGCTCGTGGCTTCAGAGTTCTTTTCAGATCTATATTCGACCTCGTTGAGCGGAATCGTTTCTCCGGACCAGTAGGCGCACTGGGCTGTGTTCTTGTGTCTCATCCTAGCCTGTCATCTCATCTGCATCTGCGTACCCAAGTGCCGATTAAAACGGACACCGACACGGACAACGTCGCTTGCACAAGTGAAAGTCCGCATCACCTTCTCTCTCTTTCCTATTCCCGATTTTTTACCTTCTTTTTGGCTCCGCTAGATCCTGGATCCGCGCGACCGCCTCTTCCTGCACCGCTGTATTACATCTTGTTCTTTTTGCGGCCAAATTCCCTTTCTCAGAAACTCGCCCACCGCTTCGACCCTTTGCACCGTTTCCTGCGCATCTTGTTTCCGCCAGACCCAGCTTTCGGAACGAGCTTAGGGGCTTTTTCCATTTTACTAACGAGGAATATCCCTTAGTCTTTGTAGCAGTATCATAGACATTCCCCGAAAATATTGCCGGTCAAGCGTGTACGAGTCGCGGCGACCAATGTTTGAGTAGAAAACGGAAAAAAGACGCCCGAGAAAGACGATCAGAACGAAGAAACCAATTCCGCACTTGGAGGAGGGACGAACAAGATGGACGACCTACGATACCGTGCCGACCCACCTATGGGCGGCCTTGTCTCGCCTCCGCGAAATGGCTCACGCCTTCCACAATCCATGACCCATGATCCTCGAACCTCTTTGCCTCGCCGCTTCACCACCGATTCGGGGCGTGTACCAACACTGTCTTCTATTACTGCTCCTCGTGTTCCTGACCAGACCCAGGATTATGCATCCGTATGTTATCACTTGTTGTTTTCTGGCCTCCCCACCGTTATGGTTGCGCTCCCGAGCTCGAGGAAGCAGGGGACACACCTCCAGGGGCGTAGAGCAGTCTCCGGGCCCTCGGGCTCTGCCGCTCTGCTCTCGCCTGCGATCGCGCCTGTTGAGCTCCCGGCACGTGCGATGGGATTGGCTTTTCTTTGGACAATTGAAGCTAACGCGCGCCTTGTGCCTCTTTCTTAGACATACCACAAAGTTCAACTGGTACGTCCTCAACCCGCCGCGGCTGCACCAAACGGCGCAGGACACCTTGGACTCCACAATCGGTTGCCCATGGACAATCGACAATCCCAGACTACCCACAGCTTCGGCTTGGGGCCGGGCCAAACCCATTTCGACATGAGACAAGGAAGACTGACGGCCGGACAGCTAGAGAAAAAGAAGCAGGAATATGAAATGATCAGAGAGCAAAAACGACGATTCGAAGTTGAGCTTCAGAAACACGAGCAGGAGCTTGCGCAAATGCAGGAGGACCTCCGAGGTCCCATGGCCGGCCATCAATCCGAACCTACCACCCCTCCCGAGTACCGCGATACCTCGAGCGCTTTCCCTCCATCTTTTCCCGCCCCAACAGATACTCGACCTCGAGCTTAACCTCGCCCCCGGGGCTCTTCAACCGCCCCAACAGGTCTGGCTCTCAGTTGGCTTCACCCCAGTCCGGCCTCATCCAGAACCCTGCTCGGTTCGGAGCGGAGCTGCCGTCGTGGTCCTCTGTTCCTGGCTCTAGGCGCAACAGCGATGAGGATGATAAGGAGGAGGCGGTCCGCCAGGATCCCACCAGCCACAGGTCGACAAATGCGTAAGTTGGCCACCCCTACCCTTACTAAACTTCTTCTTTCTTGCCCTTTTTCTTCCCCCACCCCTTCTTTTATCTGTCTCCCGCGTCACAGTTCCCGCCTGCCCTTGATTCTTAGTCGCCAGCTTTACGGGGGAAGAATCATGAGTCTTGTTGGGGGCTCAAGCGCCCCGGACCAGACTTCGTGGGACTGGGGAGTGCATCTCTTCGAACAGGTTGCCACATTGGTTCAATAACGCAAGAGGGAATGTGGATGGACGGATCTGCTAACTAAGTGTCAAGTCTCAACCGGTACTCAATGCCTGTCACCAGGACCCGCAACGGTTTGTACGACCTAGGCAATCTGGATGGCACAAACACGACTCGTTTTCTGTTTGGCGATGATGACCTAGGTGATTCGAGGCTCACCGCAACAACCACTGCGGATGATTTCCCTACCCTTGTGCGAAGGGATGACCCATTGGTAAGTGGCCACTTCCTTTCTTGTATCTCTTCTTCTCCCATGTGCTCTTCCATGTGCTCCCTACAATGATACCCCTCCCTTTCCGCCATCCCAACACCATCACGCATCCCTCCCCGCAGGTGCCTGGGCGGTGATTAGTGTTCCTCAGTTGGTAGCGCCTTCCCACGTTGCTTTTGGGTTGGCCTCGATTTCAATGAATCCCGTGTTGGGGTGACGACACCATGGCAATAGAATGCTGGTGAATCACGTTGTAGACGGGCTGGCGTGTTTGGTTCGAAGTGGGCTATTCACTGTGATAACTTTTTGTTATTCACGGCCAAACCCTGCATCCTGCCCCCTTCCGCTAAAGCACACGTACACTTTTCAAACCTTAGGGGTTCGCGTTGACTTCTTGATCTCCGCGACCTACCATCAAACCCACTCCGGTCCCCAACAACCGCCTCATTTTCCTTCCCTTCCACTTTTCATATTCCCCGTTAGCTCGCAATTTCCATCACTCTCCCTCAAAAATCCTACCGACCAGCCCTTATTCTTTCCAAACACCCCCTCAAGGCTTGACTCGACTAATGGCGTCTCCCCACAAACAGGGCCTTTCCGCTATTGGCTCTGGCCAGCTCAACGGCAATGCCTCTGCGAAGTCTACCAACTCGCTTCGCCATTCACTGGACCTGAAGTATCTGAGCGAGGCTTCGTCTGACGTTGGGAACTCGATCCATAACCCATCTGCGAACCACGTCATGGCCACCCCTCCCAAGTTGCAGAACTCGTACTCCACGGGAGATGTGAACTCGGTCAAGGCAGGCTCCCCCGGTCAGAACTTTGGCAACAGCCCCAACAACCATGCCCAGCAGCATTTCCACAACCACAATGCTAGCCTTGGCCGCTTCCTGCTGGTGCCATTTCCGGTCGTCATACTCGAGAGCTGTCTAATGATGGCAATTCGTCCGTCTCGCGTGATCAGGTTTCTGGCTACCCGTCGATCCAGTCCACTCTTCAAGGCAGCGCAGCTCCGTTTGGTCCCAACATGGTTGCCCCCGCCCATGGCCTCACCTCGAGCGTGAGCGCTCCCACGCACTCGAACTCGAACTCGATCAACTACCCCTACTATCCTGGCAACAACTATGCTCCCCCAACAACAGCGGCCCGCCCACTTCCACCGCCAACGCGGCCTTTGGGGTCCCCCTTCTTGCCATGGGCTTGCAAAACATGGGCCTCAACAACTACCCGAACAACAACTACACCGGTGGTTACACTCCGAGCTACCAGGGTTCTTCCCAGCAACAGAGAGACAGCCAAGCTCGTGTGATACAGCACCGCCGTCAACTGGACAACGAAGGTGTGTGCCCCTCGCAAACAGTAGAAGCGTCTCCGTTTGGGATACTAACGAGCCCTCTCGAAGCCATGTCTCGATACCACAACCTCCCTATTGAGGCGGTTGTCGGTCAGATTTACGAGCTTTGCAAGGACCAGCATGGCTGCCGCTATCTCCAGAAGAAGCTGGAGGAGCAGAACCCCAGCCAGACGCACATGGTCTGGCTGGAGACCAACCAGCACGTCGTGGAGCTTATGACGGATCCCTTTGGCAACTACCTTTGCCAAAAGCTCCTCGAGTTCTGCAACAATGACGAGCGGACTGTTCTCATCCAAAACGCATCGGTCGACATGGTTAGAATAGCGCTCAACCAACACGGCACCCGTGCTCTCCAGAAGATGATTGAGTTCGTCTCGACCCCTGACCAGGTCAAGATCATTGTGGAAGCTCTCCGAAACCGCGTTGTGGAACTCATCCAGGACTTGAACGGAAATCACGTCATCCAGAAGTGCCTTAACAAGCTCTCTGCTGCTGATGCTCAGTTCATCTTTGATGCCGTTGGCATGCACTGCGTCGAAGTTGGCACGCACCGCCACGGCTGCTGTGTTCTTCAGCGCTGCATCGACCACGCGAACACGGACCAAAAGGCGTGGCTCATTACCCGTATCACGGAGCACGCACACGTGCTTGTCCAAGACCCCTACGGCAACTACGTGATCCAGTACATCATCGACCTCAACGAGCCAGCTTTTACCGAGCCCGTTGTCAACCAGTTCCGCACCCACGTGTCGCAGCTGTCTCGTCACAAGTTCAGCTCCAACGTGATTGAAAAATGCCTCCGTTGCGCCCAGGATCCCTCCAAGGACATGATTGTGGATGAGATCCTGGCCCCCGGCGAGATTGAGAAGCTGATCCGCGACAACTATGCCAATTATGTGATTCAAACTGCGCTGGAGTACGCCACTCCCTACAAGAAGGCTGCGCTCGTCGATTCCATTCGGCCTGTCCTTCCCAGCGTCCGGTCCACTCCCTACGGCAGACGAATCCAGGCCAAGATCCACAACTACGATGGCCGCACCTCTGGACAGGCGACGCCGGCGGACGCTGGCAACGGCCAAATTCCTCTCCGACCATCCCACAACCGCGGCATGTCGAGCGGTAACGTGTCCCTCGCCTCGGTCGGTAACGTCGGCTTCTCGAGCGTCGGAAACGGTCTCGCGGGCAACCTGGGCGGAAATGGCGGCAACATGCCCGCTCCCGTTTCTCGCAACAATAGCAGCCAGAATGGTTTCCCCTGCCAACAACATCATGCCGATCGGAGCTGCCCCCGGCCAAAGGATGTCGGTTGGCCAGTACGGCTATCCCCAGCCTTCCCGGGGCAACGGTAACACAGCGGGTGGACCTCCCCGCTGGCGCCGCTCCCGCTGCTGACAATGGCGAGTCTCAGTGGCTGTAATACTATGCCTTCCTTCTATGTAATGGTATGGGATTTGACTGGGTGACGAGGTGTCCTGTCGGCAACGATTCTTTGTTTCTTCGCCCTGCCTTCAAGAACCGGTCACACTCGATCTCCCTCGGAATGCACGTTTACGACACGGATTATGAGTTCACGAGCTTTCCCTTGTTATGCTTGTTTTAGCATCGCATTTCAACGTCACGCCTTTCTTTCATTTTTTTTTTTTTGTGTGTGTACACTACAGCAAAAACTACGAAAAAAGAGATTATGGAAGAAACCCCTTCGACTTGCTGTTTCGATCACCGACGCGGAAGGCTCCCCCATCTTTTTCTTTTGGCGGGCCAGTTGTTTCTCTTGTCACGTTGTCCTTTCCTACCTCTTGCTTTCTTTTTTTTTCCCTGCTTGTTCTTTAGTTTATTCGGGCTCTGCACTTTTCTTTTCTTTCTTCTTCTTCAGAACCCTCGTCTACACAGACTCTTTACGTTCCTAGACAGGGTCTTGTCTACTTCGGGGTCCATTTGGGCACAATTCTTTTTCCCGGGGCTTTCTCGTGCGGTATGGAAGGACCTACCTTGCACGCGGTAGATGTCGGGCTTCGGGTTCTGGAGAACTTCGACTCGTTTGGGCAATCAGTCCCCCTGCGGAGGGGTTGGGCCGGCTTGTACGTCAAGCTTGGGGTACAACCATTCGCAAGGACACAGCTAAGCTAGGACACTGCCGGGTCACCAGTCGTACCTTTTGTACCCATCCATCGCTTGTCGTGGACTCGGTGCCCTCTAGGGTCTTTTGCGTGGCAGCGGGTTTGTCTTGGCAAGCATTGGTATCCCCACGAACCAAGTCCATGTCCATCTTTTCTTTTGCCTGTATTTCTTACTGCTTTCCGGCTTGCTTTTCTCTCTTCTTCACTACCTCCAATTCTTTGCCGCGCCTAATCAATCTGACGTTTCTGAGGAGATGCTGGATCAGGATTTGGTTCGGAAAGTGTAGCAAGAGCAAGGGAAATCGACTTGGCCCTTAGAAAAGAAATGCCCCATACGGGTCGTTTCGTTCTTCCTTCGTGTGTCCCTTTTCCCCTGTTTTCTTGCCTTCTTTAGGCGCACCAAACGTCATTTTCCTTGCCGTTCATATTGTATCTTTCCTCTGCCTTTTTCGTTTTCCAAAAAAATCAGTGCTTCCTTCTCACCTGTTCTTTCTCTCATCTTCCTCGTGTGCTTTATCGACCACCACCGCCTCTGCTAAATATGTTACTTTTACTTCCCCTTTCCAAGCGCCCGCGGCCATTCTTCCACCGACCTGTCTATTGCCCTTTGGTGTTTGATGCTCCTCCGCCTCCCCCTCTTCCCAAACACTATGTTTTCCTTTCTCTTCTGCTTCTTCGCCTGTAACTATCCCTCCTGTTGTCATTAGCTTAGATCTCGAAGAGCCCATTTTGTGTGTTCTCTTAATACATGGTTCTGAAACTTGAGTATCCCGTCCTTTCCACCATACATCCATATTTTGTTCGTGATGTGTTTTTTAACCTCCCTTTTTGAGAATGTTTATGGGGAAGACGTGGGCGATGGTTGCCGAGTTTCTTCCATGCTCCTCTTCTTTTGTGATTTACGATAATGTATAATCCCATGCTTGATGAGGTGTTGGCGCCATCTACTCCGCGCTTCCAAAGGACTTTTCTTTCCTATTGTCTCGTCTTCTTTTGGGGGAGGTTGTTCTCGACATGGCGGTGTTTGAGAGAGCTGCCTCAAGGTGACGATCCAGCGACACAGGGCAAAAGCCCAATCTCACATGATCTTGTTAAGAACACTCGGATTCATCAGGGACGAAACTTTTACGAAAGGGAGGGAGAAATATTGAGGACAATTACAAAAGAGCGAGGGGACTGGAGAGTGATTCGTCACACAATGTCCCGCTGAAAGCAAGGGTGTACAAGTAATAGAATGATGTATGGATGTTACGTCAAGTCACTCGAGCAAAAACAAGACACAGGCAAGCAGGGAGGACCGGTAGACCGGCCAGGCAACACAGATGGCTTAGTAGCAGGCAAAAAGATAGAAGAGGTGCAGTCAGATTCCATCATCAATGTGATATCATTTCTTCTTTACAGTGGAAAACCCAAAGGATAATATGCATCTCGAGAACCCCGACTCCGGAAATAGCGAAGTCAATTATCCGGTACCCTTCTTTGTTTTGTTTCTCCTCGCTTTGTCCCGGCTTTGTTTGCTATCAAGTTCAAAAGTGATTTTGGTTTTGGCCATGGTCCGGGGACGCAATGCCCCCTTTCCATGTCCGTCATGGAACAAGAACCCAGTGCCCTCATCCATTTCTTTTTTTTTGTTTACCTCACCCCTAACTCCGCCAACTTTTTCTAAAAAGGAAAAGCTGGATAGCCTTAAACACCCCCTCTCCTTCCTCTTCCTCCATTTTAGGAGTAGCCTAGAAGACTAGCGAAAAGAGAAAGACGAGGCAAGCAGCCCAGAGTCATCGTCCCCATTCCCACCCACCGGCGAACCAAGTCCGCAACGAGGCCAGTGCCGCACCCACTAAGCGTAGGAGCGACGACGGGGGCCTCGCGCTTATCGGTAGCGCCAGAGCTGGAGGGTGTTGTGGCGCTTCCAGGTCTTCCTGCGGCCAGCACGAGTGTTGTTGTAACGATGGCCCTTGTTGAGACCACGGGACTTCTTGCCGGTGGCGGTGAGGCCACGAGACTCGCGGTGCTTGTGGACGGGGTTGACGATCCAGTTGATGCGGGGATCGAGGCGGATAGCCTTGTGCTGGGGGTCGACGAGGATGACTTCGTAGTACTTGTACGTAGAGTCCTCGTTGATCCAGTACGAGTTGAGGACGCGGAGGTTAGCGCAGCGGCGGCCGACACGCTCCTCAGCGGTAGACTTGAGGGAGCGCTGGTACTTGAGCTGGTTAACACCATGGTTGGTGGGCTTGCCTGTTATGAGTAACCTCGGATTAGTATTGATATCCTTTGGTAGGTTCTGTGACCTCGATTTTTTTCTTTCCCCACTCTATCACTGAATTTTCCCCCACTCTCAAAACGAGGGAGGAAAATGGGAAGAAAAGAGGACAAGGAAAACGTACCATAAGTGGCACCCTTGGGGGCGGGCTTCTTGCGGCCACCACGGCGGACGCGGATGCGGTAGATAACGTAGCCCTGCTTGGCCTTGTATCCGAGACGGCGGGCCTTGTCGGGGCGCGAGGGACGGCTGGCACGATGGCAGACGTTCAACTGACGGAGCTATATTGATGCAGTCTCAGCAAGATGTTCAACGACTGTATAGCAAAGGCGGACGGGGTTTGTTTGCCTGCTTCCGCCCTTGCCTCCTCTAGGCATGTCTCTCGTTGTTCTGTGTCCACAAGCACCCATTTCTAGGGCTTGCGTCTCTTCAGGTCCGCTGCAGCCATGGAGACCCTCGGCGACTCGTAACACACCCTCCAATCCAGGCCGCCGTCCAATCCTTCTCTCTTTTTCAAGACAAGGATATAGACCGTGGACTAGAGTGAAGGGTCATGTTCAGAGACCAAGGGCAGACAGGCGGGGCCGTCCGAGAAACGAGAGAAGAGGAGAGGGGTATCACAAGGCAATCCCGTCTCGCCCACAAAAGTTGTGTATGCGTATACGAATGTATGCGTGTGCGTCTAGGTATTCGGAGGGTTTGTTGGACTCAACGTACTTCCCAGCATCGGACTCGGAGAAGGAAGCGCATCACATCGGACTGCTTCTTCTTCTGAAGCTCTTCGACATACTTGAGGGCACCCATTTTGGCTGAGCAAGCGGGCAGGCGACACAGGCAATGGGTTAGCAAAATAAAACAAGAATTGCCAAATAGAGGCCTCGCGGGAATTGGAGAGGAGGTGTTTGAACAAACCGGTTGTCTATCGATTTTTCCCTGTGGTCGATAGTTGAGGGGGTTAGTAAATTCGTCGGAGGTCGGATTTGGGAGGGTTCAAAAGTTTTCCTCTGAAATGGAAGATTTACCCTTATCACACTTGGATTTTGGTGCGGGCATAGGTTTGTGGGCTGCACAGTTCCCTAACGGGTTTAGCTCGACTTGACATCCCTTGGTCTCGTGACCTGTTGGTCCGTGCTCGGTAAGGTCGCTCACCGAAGAGATCAACCACACCCCATCAACTACAAGTGCGTGCACGAGTCGGGGGAATCGAGTAAACCCCACTTGCTGCACCAGAGCCACGGCCAATATACGCAAACCAAGGAACCAATTCAAACCAGCGGGCAAAATATACTCTCTTATCTACAGATCCTCAATATTTGTAGAGTTAAATTCCCTCCTTTTCCCGTACCCCTTTGGAGTCCTTTGCCCGCTTGTCGCGCTACATCTACACTCATACAGTCTTCCGTCTTAGTTAGGTAGCGCTCAATAGACGTGCGCATAGCGTACAGAGAGAGATTTCCTTTTACGCGATATTTGCACGGCCCCTGATTGTAGACGGCTTCTCTAGCTAGCCACCTCCGTGAGTAACTCTTGAAAGCTCGTGACATGCTTCAAAAACACTCCAGGTTCCCGCACCCCATGGCTTCTCGTCGAGCGACGCGAGACTTTTCTTCAAAAGGAGTGGGCAATCCTTTCCTTATCAGTTCTGGGAGGGGGATTCTGGCACCCTGGAGTCCTTGGGGATCGTCTGAAGAGACTCTGAATGCACCGTCGATGGCCATTTCGCCAAGTCTAGCCGCCATGTTGATGATTTCTCGAACCTGAGTGCAATCGTCATCACTCGGCGAGATCGGCAAAGGATACGCCTCTACCCGGATGACTTTATTCGCGTCTTCATATTGCTTCAAGATATCCTGGAACAAACCTACGACTTCCTGGCCTTGCTTGTAAAGAGGGTGCGATTCCAGCCGACGAGGTGTATCTGGAGAAGATCCCAATAGTCCCAACAGATTCGAGTACTTTGCGCTCGTTTCCTTGATAAAGGTGTCGGTGAAGTCATCCCTAGAACATCGTCGTCTTTAGAAAGGCACCAAATGACCAAGCGTAGACGGCCCACTTACATCTCGGCCATCTTCTCTTGCGCATACTTAGCTAACTCCACCTTTTCCATCGCCCGCTGCTCTCGAAATCTGGCGAGGAATTTGGCCGAGCTCTTTGATTGGTGTAGGTCAGACTTGGGTTGTAGCGCAGCATGGGTCATCTTTTCAAAAGCATCCCTGAAAGTATCCCTTTTCAGCCACCTTTTCTGCTCATCACATATTTCGCACTTCGCACTTACCCTGTCGAGTCCAAGTCTGAGTCCGATCCCTCTTGCCCTGCCTCTAGCCTAGGGGACCTGAGGCTAGGTCCAGCTCTTGGACCGTCGGCCTCAGCTTCAACAACTTTGGTCTGAAGCCTCGGAGATCGACGAGTGAGCAGTCTCCTCGTTTTCTTTCCCTTCTTCGTAACTCGTGACGGGGGTGGTCCGACAAATCGCTATCGAAGTCTGGGTGCAAGTGTAAGGATATAGAACCAATACCAAAAAGTATCTACTTCGTAGCTACCAGTCTCATTCGTCTTACCTCCGCTATGAACAGCCTTGCGCTTCACGGGTACCCGCTTCGGAGCCATGGCGAGACAAGCTAGCGGAGAACTCGGGGGTAGTTGAAAGCGGGAAAGCAAAGCTTGCTTCGTCAGATAATATACCTAGACTCGCCAAATCCACACCTAGACTCTTGCCGACCCGTTAGTGAAAGTAGGATCTTGGGTAAGAATGGATTGAATCTAGGATACGGAGCACCCCTCAAACCCAAGCTCTAGTCTTAGCCCCGCCCTCCGTGCCTTAGCTTAGCCGGGCTTCTCCTTCCCCCGATGCGAAGAGGTGTGGCCCGCCTACGACGACCAACCTCTTACATCCATGGATCAGTTGGCCATCGCGACTTCCCTCTCCTACGGAGCTCCATCGGCACTCCATCGCTCTTTTCCATCTTTGAAAAGGGAGTAAGCACGCTACTAGTGGGGCAACAACGACAGACATGGCCTGGCGTGTAAGCCAAGTCATTTCCTCTATTAATCGCCCCACCAACCCGGGTCTCGGTCCCCTCATTGTTTACACGTGTTCGTGGCAAAGCGTGGGCACCGATAGCAAGCAGAGGGAGAACTTGATCGCTTAGGTGTGGAAGGAGGTCATAACCGCATCATCAATTTCCGCACATTATCCATCCTATCTATCTGTCTGAATACCTGTCTTTTGGAAAAAGAAAAGAAAAAGAAGAGAAGAAAGTGAGAACAGGCCAAGGAATACGATCTTGAAAAGAAGAAAAGAAAAAGAGGCCCCCAGAAAGAAGGCTGAAGTGTGAAACGCAAAGACGTCCAGGTTCCACCAAAGTGTATCAATCAAAACACCCAACAATAGGACAAAGTTTAGAAGGTGAAAAAGAGGGCAAGGGCAAATAAATCAGCAGGATGACTTTCAGTCAGTCGCAATGTATCATTCTCCCAGCTCTGTCATAAGGGAAGCAGAAAGAAAAGCAAACAAGAAAGCAGCAAATATAGGAGATACAAGATAACAAGTGTAGCAAACAACAGTCAAGATGTGAGAGATAGAGAAAAACATGAAGGAAAGGTAAGCCAAAAAGAGAAGAAAAAGAGAAAAGGCAAGAGGGCCACAATGTTGCCAAAGTCGAGATGGGTTGGTAGGAATTGAGTGTTTGATTCCGGGGTAGAGACAACGACAGGCAAACACTCTAGACAGCCCACATCCATATCTCCAGTTTACCCGCCCGCACTGCTTCAGCTTCTATAGAAGGGGGAACAGAGAAGGGGAGTGGGGGAGGTGGAAACCCCTCTATCGTTTGGAGGAAGAAAAACATAGCGATAAAGCTCATCCATCAGAAGGCTTGGCGCTGAAAAGTCGCGGGCAAGCCATACCTGAGGTCGCTTTTGCCTAAATGAGCGAGAGGCAAAGGAAGGAAGAAAAAGGAGAAGAAAGAGGAAAGCCGAAAAAAAAAAAAAAAAAAAGAACAAATCATCTTTAGGAGACGAACAAGACGGAAGAGGAAATCTTTGTCTATGGTAGTCAGGTATCCGCGGTATAGAACAGTATAGCAAACCCTTCAAACAAGAAGAAAATCAAAAGTTTAGAAAAGCAGTCGCAAAAAAACCGGAAGCGCTGTCTGTGGTGGTTTTCCGTCGACGATGTATCATTAACCCCCTGTTTGGCCCGAGGCGCGTTTTCGTGTAAGACGGAAGATTTGAAGGACAAAGATCGCAAGAGGTGAAGGTCAGAGGCTAAGATGCAACCGGCGAGCCACATTCGGGAGCCTTCGACTCCAGACACCCCCTCCCCCAACGTGAAAGTATGCGATATAGACGAGTAGCGTGGATGATAGGTGCGGCAGCACTTATGACGAGTGTGTCGCATGGTAGTGGCGGCTGTGCCCACCGGGAGTAGCTGTGGTGAAGTGAGACATAGGTGGGTGCCGTGTGGAGTGTTGATATCACCGCAATCGAAAATAAATTTCTCCGCCAGCCCCGGTATCTCGGGGTCGTCGTGGGACGCAATCGCACAAATACAACTCGGAGTGAAATGTGTCTGACCTCACCCTCATCCGCCCCCAGTGTCAAACATGCGCACGCGAACGACATCTCTTGCTCTCCCTCTGCTTTGCGTGCGTCTTCATCTCTAGCGCCACACCCCCATCTCCTCTTGTCCCCAGCCACAGTCAGGGTAGTGGTGTCAACCGTCGCAAAATCGAGACCAAACTTTTCTCGTCTCTATGAAGCCGTCTATATCATGTTATGGTAGACCTCTCATCTTTTGTCACATTCTCGAGTGTGGTTCGTGGAATGAAAAAGACGAGGGCCTCGTGATCGGTTGGCGCTGCCGACCGTAAAGGGAAGTAATCGGGATAACGATGCAAGGTAATGTCGTTATCAGGCTCAATAGCCCCCGCAGAGGAGAGCAAAAGCGATCGTAATCTTGAGCCAGCTGGAAAAGTTGTTGTAATGGGAAAATACAGAGAATGGGGCGGAATAGAGACAAATGACTCGCGAACTCGCGCACCCGTCGAGGTCGTCGTTTACATGCGGAGGTATCGCCACTATACGACAAGCTAGGCTAGAAACTAGCGAGTGTTGAGGGATAGACCTTGGAAGGAGGAGACCCAGTCTTGCTGGCCGCCCAAGGGCGACATGCCAGCATGGGGACCAGGATTTGGCCCTTGGCCAGGAACTCGTCTCATGCTTCCAAAGTCATTTTGCGGCGAAAACCCTGCGCCGTAGGGGTCCCCATTGGGGCCGCTCGCGGTGTAGTACGACATGTTGGTGGTGGCGCGGGGGCCGGCACCAAAACCCATTGCACCGTACTGCTGCTGCGGCTGTTGTTGTTGCTGTTGCTGCTGCTGGTGTTGCTGGTGTTGCTGGTGTTGCTGATGTTGTTGGTGTTGTTGATGCTGCGGATGTTGCTGTTGCTGGTGTTGTTGTTGCTGTTGCTGTTGTTGCTGCTGCTGCTGCTGCTGTTGCTGTTGATAGCCAAAGCTACTCGCAGGTGAGTAGCTCGAAGCTGGGGGCCCGTTGCGATCGTTGCCAGAGAACCCTCCTTGACCGAATCCAGCCCCCTGAAACCCTCGCCCAAGCTGAGGAGCAGTCGGGGATTCTTGCTGGCTCTGATTCGGCCGGCGCTCGGCCGGCCCAACACCTCGGCCAACCCCGACAGCCCCCGGTCCAATGCCGCTGGGCGCCTGAAGGCCAAGGGTGGGGTTCGCGAAAGATGCGGGGTTGACAGCCGACATCCAGATACGGGTTTTGTAGATCTTGAAGAGGTCTGTCACAAGCGAGTTGAAGTTGATGTACGAATCAGCAAAGTAATAGAAGGTGAGCTTCTTCCAGTCCCTGTAAGTGAGAATTGTTAGCACGGTGTCCATCCCTCTTCCAGAAAGTGCAGACTCGGGGGAATGCATGTTGGAGTGCGCGCATACATTTGGAACTCAGCGTCGAGGATCTCCATGTTCAGGCCGTGCTCCTTGACCTTCTGCATACACACGCGCTTAGCTTTGGCCTCGTTGCCCTCCTTCTCCCTGAGAGAATGGATCTCATGGCTTTGCGCCAGACGTTTGATAAGCTTCGGCTTGAGCTCGCCAGTAGCCGAGTCTTGCATGTGATGATGGTTAGGGGCCCATGCCGCCGACAGCACTCGCTTGAAGACCGCTCGGGGCACCCATCAAGTTCGCCCCACCACCTTCTTGAACGGCGGCGGCGTTCTGAGAGTACATCATAAGCCACTTGTAGTGCTCCTCGGCATAATATTCCTTGAGGTCTTTGGCGGTCTGCCAATCGACATTGTCCCGGACCACCGTCCCAATGTCCGTCCCGCGGTCGGCCTCCACGATGACGAGATCGCCAGGCTTGACTGTTAGGCCAGTTCCCTCTTGGATGTAGAAGACGTCGGCGCGCGAACACTTGAAGTAAACAATGTGCAGCAGTTGGTTTTGGCGGGGTTGGCTCATGCCATAGAGAGTGCGGTGAGGCGAGGTTGCGCGGTTGTTAAATGATCCCTGGAGGCTATACGGGGACGGGAACTGCCCGTTATATGACTGCTGCGCCATGACTGGGCCATTTCCAGCACCTGCGGGTACTGGGAGGGGTTGCCTAGATAGCCTCGTTAGTATAGAAAATTCTTCGAGGCAAGGAATTTGGAACGTTTGGCTACTTACCGCCACCGCCCATAACAAACGCGGGCCCATCTCCATAAGCACTGGGGTAGTCCTGCGAACTTTGAGGATCTTGAGACCCGATATCAAGGCCAGCAGCAGCGGCCGCGGCCGCGGCATGGTCATTGAGCGACGTGATCGACGCCTGCCTTGTGGGTACATCCGCAAAGGAATGGCGGCGACTCTGCGGGATATCACCAAGGCCGCTAAACCCGAGCTGGCTGTGCCAGATGCCTTTCTTTACCGAGTCGTGTTTACGCGAGTCCATGCCGAAGGGCGAACGGAATGCGCTGGGTCCGAACTCGCTCATCCTTCGGTTCAAAGTCCTCCTCGGGTTCGACAAGTCGACAGCATCGTTCGCCTCATCCAGCTCATCTATCGCATACTCGGATTCCTCTGGCACGGTCTCCCGGAGGGTGTAACTACCGGAAATGCCATAAGCAGCAGCCGTAGAAGAACGAGGCCGTAGCCGAGCATTATGATACTGTTGTTGGCGCAGCATCGCGTTTTCTCGAGCGAGCATCTCAATCGTCTTTGCCTCCGCCGACTGATGAATAGAACTCTGATAATGAAGTTCGGACACGTGCTCGGAGTCGTCTTCATCATCATCCACTTCTTTGACTTTCCCAAGGGCGCTTTCGCTTGACATTTCGCTCAACATACTCGGTCGAGAGGGCCGGTGTTGGATACCGGCATGGCCATGTGGGCGAGAGCGGCCGAGCATAGCTGATGAACTCATCGAGGGTGGGGCCGAATCCGGATCCGTTTGACCAACGGAGTAGGACTGGGAACGGTAGGTCTTGGGGGTTGGATGAAGTGGGATGGTAAATGGGAACTGCGAGCCAGCGCCGGGGTCTCGAGGTCCGGGAGAGGCTTGCGACAAGCTTCCAGTTTCCGGTCCAAACATGGAATTGACCGAGGTGGGAGGGATAGCTGTGGTAGGTGATGGAAGAACCTCGCTCAATCGGGAAGGCTCCTTTCTCTCATTGTTCCAGATGGCAGTTCCCCAAGGGAAGGACCCTGGCGCTCGGCCCATCATGGCTCCCGAGGCGGAGCCCCAAAGACCTCCTGTATTATCGGCCGACGGGGTACCCGGGTGTGAAGTGGTTGGCGACATCGAGCTGCTCGCAAACGAACCCTTCCTAGGTCGAGGTATCTGCTGCGAAGTGTCGTGCAGCCACGATGCTCGGCGAACGGGTTTGTGGGGTGGCGCCACAGCTGTTTGAGAGGATTCTAGAAAGCGAGAGTCGGCTTCGTCGTCGGAACTAGCGAGAGCGTCTGAATCGGGGGTTAATGTCCTCGCGGTTAGCTTCTCGAGGAGAATAGCTTGGCTCGAAGGGGGACGGATGACAGCCCGCCCTGGCCGCCAATCTTGGATGGCGTGCCGGGCTTCACAGCTGCTGAGCTCATCATCTGAGGGGGTTGCGTGAAGTAATCTAGTCCTGGTGGCATGTGAAGAATATTGGATCAAGAGTAAGGTGGAGAGGGTGCCAATAGGCTGGCCCACGAGGGTCGGGTTTGGCGGAGGTTCGTTAAGTATGGGAAGGTGATCCCGAGAGGATGTAGCGCTCAAGTCAAGACTCCAAACGCTCGGAGCGTCTGCTGATGCCGGGGAGCTTACTTGCCAATGGAAATAGTACGGTGTACGTCTTATGGCCCCGGGAGCATCGCAGTTCGGGGGATCAGTCGTCGATGCCGAAAACCGGTCGAATGCGTTGGGCGCAAAAGGGGAAGATGTCGTCCTTATTTAAAAAGACCTTGAACCTGCAATTTCAATCGTCGCACGTCAGCTTCGCAATACCAGACAAGGTCCAAATGTGGGATTGACATTGCAAACAGCTCAGGGCATGTGCAGGTGGAAGGAGCAAGAAACTGGAGAGGTCGGCCGACCATGGGAAAGCAATAAAGGGCGACGATCTCCACAGATGTTCCCCGCAACGGACGGGACACACCAGAGGTTTCGGAAGACCCACCAAACTGCTAACATGCGGTGAAATGATGAAGGGGAAGGGGGTTCTGAACCATCTGACCACTTACCAACCCTAGACACTGGGGAAAATGTTCCAGACTCGGGTGGTGTATTTCACAGTCTAGAACAATCGCAGAAGGGGCACGCTGAGTTGAGGTTTGGGCAGAGGTGCTCTAGTCCCGCGAGGTACAAAAAAGCCACGAATTGACAAGAGCGAAGTGCAGTTGCCAGCGCGGCGACTCGGTCGGGGCAGTAGCGAAATGCGTCCGTCAGAATAACCTCGTCGGCGGGTTTAGTTGGGTATCAGGGGTTTTAGCGGATGGGGTGAAGTTTGGTGTCGTCGGTCCCGAGAGAAGAGGGAGAATAACCAAAAGAAGGCTAGAGTTGAAGTCGTGTGGATGTGAGGACGGAAAATCTAAACCAGGTCCTCTAACAGAAGGCGCGGACGGAGTGGGAAAAATATCGTCGAGTCGGAAGAACGAAGAGAGGCGCGGCGACGGTAGCGACGCCAAAGTTGCTCGCACAAAGAGGATACACAATGCTTAGCAGGGAAAACGGAGAATTCATGCCTCGCCTGGCTGTATCTTTCTCTGTCTCTATTTCTGTGTTTTGCGCCGATCCCTCGCACTGAATCAGAAAAAAATCCCCGTGCCGGAGAAATAATGCAACAAAGAGGCTTGGTCTAAGGAAGGCTTGTTCTCTATGCGCTGCCCATCGTCCGGAGGGGACGCCCGAAATACACGAAGAGAGCTGACAAGCGACGGCGCGACAGGACCAATGTTGAAGACCCGCGACCGGTGGGTTACAGGGCGGGCTAAGCTAGGCTGTTCTGTCGGCGGCAGGCGGTGAGAAGGAAAAAGGGAACGGGAAGAAGAAGAACAAGAGCACCGGGGGTAGGAAAAAGAAAAAGGAAAAAGAAAAAGGGCGGCCAGGCACAACGCTCGTCGATGGGAAGTTTGACCAAGAGGCCAGGGATTGAAGAAGGGAAGAGAAAAGGTGATATCAAGCGTCCAAAGAGTTGAACAAGCAAATAAGAGGAGGAGAGTTCGCAAGAAGCGGGGGGGAGGGAGGTAAACCGTGTTGCGACACGAGACCCAGTGTTGAGGTTGACGTCTAGCCCGCTTCTGCTTCTGGCCTCAGGTTGGCCGGCCACGGCGTGGTAGGTCAGGGTGGAGAAGCCACTACCCTCTCCGTCTCTCCACATCCAAAATGTGCCACCACGCTCTGCACGACCTTGACTACTTCTTTTTGCCCGGCGCTGTGCTGCTTGATCCTCCCAACGTACAAGTACATGGGCAAAATAAAGTGGGCTACGCTACAACCTGAGATGGTGGGTTCGAATGCTGCGAAAGCGAAAGGGGAGGGTGGCTGGTGCTTTCAGAGCAAGACTCGGCCAGTCAGCCAACGCCCTGGCCAAGCTGCAGGTGGTAATATCAAAAATTCGAAGGGGAAAGGGGCAACCCTCGAAACTCGACGAGAGCCCCCGGTGGGAGCAAAGTACATTGCAACCACAGGGTGCGTTTTGGTACCAAGTACAGTGCGCTAGTGCGTCCTGTGTTACCCTTACCCCATGTCCCGCCACCCCTCCACCTCCCAGCCGTGCCCTGTGCTCTGTGCTCTGTGCTCTGTGCTCTGTGCTCTTGACGGGTTCTCCGCTCAGCCCAACGCTTCCCCTGCACCCTCTGCACCCTCCACACCTCTGAAGAAGGATTGATGCTTGGGATGCGCGTTGCAATGATACCGTCGCTTCCCCTTCTCACTGATCAAAGGAACCACAGACCGAGCTCCCCAGTCTCCTAGATGATCGCGACGCAAAGATCGGTTTGGTTTGGACAGATGATGTTGGCCCCTCGGCCTTTCGGCACAACACTTGAGCAGTAGCGGATTATGGCAAGTATGGCTATCACTCGTGCCCACCATTTCTGGGTCTTGCTTGAGCTTAATCCAACGAAGAGTGGAGAGCAGACGCCAATAGAGGAGCAATTATAGTCTTCTTTGGGTTGTCACTTTAATATGATTCTGTGGTCCTCTTCTACACTACACACACTGGCCTGACACCGGCTGGATGCACCTCTACAAATACAGTATATTCAATAAACATGTACTGTATTGTCCCGCATCTATTCTCAAAGTGTTGTACCGAGGAGGTATTGCAGCAGCAGAGGGATCGAACGCTACACTTGATGGAGAGACGTATTACGAAGTGTGCAGTCGACGCTCGCCTCCACCCCCGGGCTTCGTTGATCGAGATTAGTTCTCTTTATTAATCCACACTTTGATGTGTTCCCCATTTATTATATCGGGGAAGAGGGGGTGAAGTCAAGGCTATTACGGGCAGGCGACAACATCGGGAGAAGTAGCTGCAAGATGCAGGACTCGGAGAACCGCGCCCGACCTGGTTCTCTTGGAGAGATCACAGGCGCTTGGGTTCTCAAGAAAGCAGCGGGCAGGTGCCAAAAGCCATGGATCTGTTCGGAGTGAGGAGCTATCGCACCACGCACGCCGTCCCTCCAGCTCTCGAGGAGTCCATTCCATAAGTACACTCCAGTGAGTACACTCCAGCGAGGAGGCAGAGGTCAAATGAATTGGTGCAGCATGGAGGGTACCCTCACCTCCACTCCACTACAGCACTACATGACTCCATGGAGCCCGGACTGCAGGTGGAAATTTACAAGGGCCAGGGGTGACCCCTGGGTGCTCGAAAGGGGAGATGGAGGAGATACATGATAATAACCCAGATGAAGTTTCTTTTAGGAAAAGAACCGTCGTGTTTGTCAACTCCACAACAGAACTCAAGTGCTCCAAGAGCGCAGATATCAGCACGCTAAAAAGCATAAGCACCTTCATTCAGTCCATCCCCAAAGTACTCTACTCGAACATTCAGATGTCGCTTGGTATGGCTACGAGTTTGGTACCTTGCGATGTACACTCGCCACACCGGGTTCATTGATTTTCCTTGCCCAAGCTGCCGCAGTACACGATCAGTCGGCGCGATAAAGTACCCGGTACGAGCCTCTTAAGGAGGCTACATCGATCTCCCTTGGAGGGTTGATTCCTGGGTCCAACCAAACAAAGAAGAGAAAAAAGCTGGAGACAGCTGGAAGGCTCAAATGGAGCAAAAACCACCACTCCTCAACTTGTCTCAGTCGACAGACGGCCACCTCTTTGTAGACCTTTCCGAGGCCGTGGTGGGTACGTAGAGTGGCAAAGACTCGAAGAGAAACAGATATTAAGGATTATTATGGAGGGGCCAAACCTTATTGATTCCGAGGTCCAGCGCCTTGGTCGTGTCAGGAAGTTGGTCGGCAAGAAAAAGAAGAAGAAAAAAGAAATGTTTTGAAGATTTCGAACGTCGAGAAGGAAAAAAACAAGCAACCGGCGCTCAGCCCTGGCCAAACGCCATTAGGCGCGAGGGGTCACGGTTGGGCTCCCAGGATCTGTGCTGGCCGATCACCATTCCCTCGGTGAGGAGAAATTAGATCTCAAGGGGAGGGGAGTTCGCTGCCGTGCATTGGGCAGAGGAAAGTCCTGCCGTCTTGGCCCTTGCTTTGTCGCTTCAGAGCCCTCATGTTTTTTTGGGTTTCGAGAGATGGGTGCGAGTGAGTGGCTGGTATGAACGTTTACAAGCACGCAGGCATGCGACGATGAGCCCCGAACCCCCTTCTGCGCGACCTTCACGCAAAGTGCTGTGACCCGTTTCTAACTACCCCCTCAGCGATGCGCTGCACGTTGCGCGCGCAAGACTTCGGAAACGGCTAACCTCAGAGAAACGCGCGAGGTAGCAGAATATGCAGAGCGGGAAGGGTTTGAGGAAGTCAATGGATCGGGGAGGATGCGGAGGATGTGCCGCTTACCATTCGGATGTCGTCAACCAGGGTAGTATCACAATCTCAACTGGGCAAAGGGTGGCAGGCTGCATGCATTGCACACACATGACGGCCCCAGCCTACGGAAGATACTTGGACAAGTTCGAACTATTATTCTTCTCTGCGAGGGGGAGGAGAGGAAGGAGGGTCAGAGCCCTCAATGCCTTTTGCCTTTGCCTCTGCGCCTGTCCCTCTTACAGCGCAACTTGGGGGTGAATGGTGAATGACTTCATTCCAGGTGGGAAAGCACGGTGCGGCCTACGGTAGGAGATACCCCCTCTAATGCACGATTCGACATAGGCGGCGCAAATCTTTCATGCAGCAGGCTCACCGATGGGGAATTGGTCGGGATAGGGGCTGGGAGGAGCCGTCCACCGAGACCGACGCCAATAGGTTAATGCATCGTTGATATTGCATGGAGTTCTTGTGTCTTTAGGGCCCATATTCTTCAGAGCCCCCTCACGAAGGAGCGCGGTTCCTCCGGTTTGCCGGGAAAGGCTGGTTCGACAATTCGATACACTGCACTAAGGATGAACAGAACTTCAGGTGACGTCTGGTCCATCCCAAATTTGCCCCCAGAATGAAAGTGCGGGTTTGCGACTTTAAGCCATCAACTC